GGTGCGCGAATCTACGCTGATAGAACCCTGGCCCACCATATATCTTAACATAGGGATGCTCACTCGTCGTTCCGACGGACATGGTGAGCCAACATCTGCTAAATAATCTTCGTACCCACTTATTATTCTGGTTGAGTGAGGTAATTGCTACATATGAAGTCAATAAGTATGAAAGGCAAGGTCTACCTGTCGACGCTGGTCAATGTGTACCTGTCGTTCCTACGAACACAGTTAGCGAAGTATGCCTTACGATTTTCGTATAAACGGTCATATAAGTGAAACTGATGGGTATGAAGGTGAATGTAAACCCGTCGTTCCGTAATGAAGAATATCCGGTTGACTCAGGTAAAATGAATAAGTATGATGCATTACATATGAGTCGATTCGCTTTTTGTAACTGCATCCACTCTAATATGATCACTAAGCTTGCTTTTGCCAACTTTTTACTGTATTATTAAAGCACTGAACCAATGTTTGGAATAATTGTAAAGCATGTGTCTCATCTAATATATCTAAGAAATGCTGTGTTTGATATTGCAATATGTAATGATGAATATGAACATGTATGTGTGCAATCGCTTCGTATATTAATGTTATAGATAGAAGCCGACATATGGACACTCTGTTATGGAGATCTACACATGTAATTATCATTAAAAAAATGCATAGTCAGCAATTGCAAAATGAGCTAAAAATGCATAATCAGCCAATCCAAAATTAGCAAATAATGCAAAAGTAGCCAATCCGAATGCCGGAAAAGGATCAAACGGACGGACAGTATTCTTTTATTATATAGACGAGGGTATTTACCCGTCGTTCCGACGGACATTATACCTGTAAATGAAATAACCATTTCCTATTATTGAGATTGTCTGGTATGTTCTGTAAAGTGGTGGGTATGAAGCTTGATGTGTACACGCGTTCCTTTAAAAATATACAAAAATTATATAGCATGATGGACGGAGTTATCATATAGATTTTACTATTCAAATTTCAGTCATGATATTCACTCCTATAGATGTATGTCCGACGAAATTTATTGCGTTACCTCATCGAAAATTACTAATTAAAACTAAAATCATGGAAATGTGCTTGCGTTAATGCAAATAAGTAATGGTGTTCACCCGTCGTTCCGACGGAAAGGTGCACAAATTCTACGCTGACAGTATTTGAATTTATCACTTTCCTTAAAAAAGTAGGTTGCTTTACATAGGGTTTGACCCGTCGTTCCTACGGTGCGCAGTAGTATATACAGGCATTTTAACGCATTACTTTGCTAGGGTTTGACCCGTCGTTTTGACGGTGCGAAAGTAATATATATTTTAGGCATCTTTAAAAAAACGCAGCGATTTGCTAGGGTGTTCGCCCGTCGATTAACGGATTGGTGCGCGCGAACCGAATATATATACATATTTTTATGCATCAAGGACCGAATATAATTATCATTGTGTGTTTCACAGCTGTTTTGATGCTACTTTTACCCTATGTGCAGTTTTTGTTAGCGTCCGTCGTTTCGACGGATAGGGGCGCAATCCTACGCTTCTAGTAGATTGGCCCACCATTTACCTAAAAATACGGATGCTCACTCGTCGTTCCGACAAACATGGTGAGCAAAATTCTGCTAGAAAAATCTTCGTACCCATCTTTTTAAATATACGGTTGTGATAAGTAAATCATTAAGTATGAAAGTCAAAGTTTTTCTGTCGACACCGGCCAATGTGTATCTGTCATTTCGCAGTTCAATGTGTACCCGTCGTTCCAACGGACACAGTCGTTCCAACGGACATGGTGATTAAAGTTTGCCTTTTGACCTTCGAATCCAACATTTTACCTTACACTATTAAGGTGAAGTGATGGGTATGAGAATTAATGTGCACTCGTCGTTCCGGCGGATAGTAGCGTGCCGACCGAATAGACAGATGTACTGTATGTATACAGGATCGTATGTAATTTATTCTATGTCTATCAATCAATTTTTAATACAACTTTTTGCCTGTGTGCAGCTTTTGGTAGTTCCCATTGTTCCGTCGGTAGGGGCGCGATTCTACGCTGATAGTACCCTGGCCCACCATATATCTTAACATAGGGATGCTCACTCGTCGTTCCGACGGACATGGTGAGCCAACATCTGCTAGATAATCTTCGTACCCACTAATTATTCTGGTTGAGTCAGGTAATTGCTACATATGAAGTCAATAAGTATGAAAGGCAAGGTCTACCTGCCGACGTTGGTCAATGTGTACCTGTCGTTTCGAAGGTTAATATGTACCCGTCGTTCCTACGAACACAGTATAGAGAGAACAAATTGTCTATTTACTGATTAGTGCAAGATCTCTGGTAGGTAGTTAACCACACTAGCAACGCTGGAGGGTCCAGGAATTGCCTGCGGCTGGCAGCACGTCTATGAACGCCGGACTGCCCTCTCGGTTCTGATATAAATATGTCGTAACATGCAGATAGTTGGGCTCCACGGACGGCTGTGGCCGCCCTGCAATGGAGACGTTTGATGAGCGCCCTCAGTTGGAGCTGAATCCGATTCCAGATCAAAGTTTCACTGGCTTGTATCGGAATAAGCGCATTGTTAAAAATCCTATCCACGCGAAGTTGCCAGAGCATTGTGATAATGACGGTCACTGCGACTTCCCAAATCGTCCTCCAGGCTGTGGCGAATAGATCAATGTCTTCCGGGTACCGGGCTAACAGCTTTGCTGTGACCTGCGGCGAGATGCGTGGTACGCTACAGTTTGCGCAGTGTTCGAGCCAATCCAGGAGGTGGGTAGGATGGTGAGGTGTACTCTCCCAATGACTGATAAGCCGGGCCCAGATTGCCTGAGCGCGGGGACATCCCCAAAAGAGATGCTCCTGGGTTTCCTTTTGGCCTACACATTCCAAATATGTGCATGATCCGTCCGGGGGTCGGTTTTGGTACCAAAAGTTTAGCTGTCCGGTAGCGTGTCGATATCGTGTCCATAGCTGGTATTCCGTTACCGCATGGCCGTGATCCCATAGCTGAGCCGGCGTGACATTTAAAGCTGTGCATTGCCACCGCGTATTCTGGCTCTTGGTGGCTAGCCGATCGATGACCTGCTTCAGCGGTGCTGCGAGACCGCGCTTTGTCGCCTGAAAAGCTTGTTTTTTCAAAAAAGTGAATAGTCGATGGTTGGGAACCGTAGGCGGTGCGGACCACGGATAGTGGTGGATCTGTGGGTTGGAAAAAAGACAACCCCATGTCGGCTGAGCTTGCTCTCCGCTTTTTGGGTGAGTTCCTGCGATTTCCCTTTTACTAGCGGCGGAGCGCCGTCGAAAACCCAAGTTATGCCATCGTGGCATTGAGTGAGCTCCCAACTCTGAGGGCGATCAGATTCATCAGAGAGTGAAACGCCTCGAACCTTGCCTGGCCCGATCAGCACCCATGAGATGGCTTGCGTGAATGGTAGCTGTTGCCTTAGCCGCAATGGGCTTGGGCACCCTACCGGATTTCCCACGTCTAGTGGCGGCGACGAAAGTAAAATTATGATCGCCCATTCTCGAAGTTTCGCATGCGAATGGCGGGGGTCATGGACATCCGTGCCAATGCCGCTGAAGACGTATTCTTGGGGGCCTGTCCGCTGGATGTGGAGTTGTTCGAGGGATACATCACGAATTCTGTTATATTTGGATCGGGACAGCTCGAGCGCCTGCGGTGAGAGAATCCAAGGATTACCACTCCACTGAAACGTCTGCCAAAAATCGTTTATCTCCTGAGGCCAAATCTCATCCCCTTGAGGCCGCCATGGAAGGGGCTCGGAGAGGTGCAAAATCCAGTCATTTTCCTCCCACCAACTGGTCGATGATGACCGAAGGTTCGGTAGATGTTCTTGTACTCGTGCTAGGATTACCGCCGTTTGCGCGATGTCTGGCTGTAATGTGCAGCCGAGTTCATGGATCACATCGGGATAACGCTCGAACGACGGCGATACGATGTGTTTTACGCTCGGTCGATGCGGGCTGATGCTCGTGTTACGTGCCCCATGCGTGTTCCAGGACACCCACGCTGTGAGATACATATCCTCCGGCCGAGTAAGTGCCAGAAGCGCGTGTTTCACTCGCTGTGTTTTAATAGCAATTGGGACGGACACTAGGCCAATTCCTCCTGCCTTCCGGGGGGTGTAGAGTAGGCCTGGAGCGATTTTGTGTCTCCCAGGTTCGATCTTGTTGGACGATTTCCAGAGAAATTGTTTATAGAGGTGATCCAATTGTTTTAGCGCCCAGCCGGGGGGCTCGAAAACTGTCCTACGAACACAGTAAGCGAAGCATGCCTTTAAATTTCGTATAATCAGTCATATAAATTAAACTATGGGTGTGAAGGTGGACGTGTACCGTCGTTCCGTAAATTTTCATTTCATTATATAACACGACAAACGGAATTTTATTGTTATGATCTTACGATATAGATTTTAGTCATGCTATCCATTTTTAGATATAGATGTCCGACAAATTTATAGCATGACATCTTACGTTATCCGTATCTGTTGGTCTTCTTTCGGTGTGTCAAACATATTTTTGATGCAACTTGAGCCCGTGTACAGCTGACCTGCTCGCATTAATATGCATAATCAGCCAATCCAAAATTAGCAAATAATGCAAAAGTAGCCAATCCGAATGCCGGAAAAGGATCAAAGGGACAGACGGACGGACAGTATTCTTTTATTATATAGATAATCTTATTGGCACCTCATATATGTGTCAACATTATGTAATGAACTTAAAAACAGTATAGAAAATTGACATAGTGTACATGTAATTACGGTAGTGATAATGTAGCTCGTAAATTACATAAAACATCTTAGGTAAGGTACCCGGCAAACCCTTGGGCTTGGCTATTGCCGGCAATAGCCTTTGATGTCTAGCTATGACCCTAAGTCATAGCTGGCATAGCCTTCCCGGACACAAAATCTTTCATTGCCACCTACTACATGCTACTCAACCGCAAAAAACATCTACCCTGCACTCCCCACACGCTATTCCTCCGTCAAAAGGTTGCCCAAGCTCCAGCCGTCTTTATCCGCGTCCATTGTAAGCTCAGCGGGATTGGCTTGCACCAACTTATCATCCTCGACAAATTGGCACAGGTTCAAATTAAACTCCTGCGCAGCCAAAATCGTGGTGTCATCATCACGTTGCAATGTCTCTGCCTCTTCTTGTCCGAGGGTGTCATCCATATACTACATCCTTTTTTTCCAATCGGCCCACATCCTGTCAATCAGCGCTTCAGACACGTTTGCAGGTCTTCCACCTGCTCTGCCATGATCGACTCTTCAAACAAACAAGCTACAGGGTAAAAAAAGGATCGATACTCACCCTTGATGTTGGTTATCTCCTCAAACGCAATCGTACAGGCTTTAGCTGTAACTTTCTTACACTTTTCTGCCAGTGCTTAAGCAATTTCTCCGACTAAGCCGCCTTCTAACTTTCTGCGCAGAATCTACACTGTGCATCGTATCATTAATCTTGCCAGCTTTCACGGACGCGCACAAAACGAATTTTCATGTTTACCTAAAAGAGTCCCCTTTTGACGGACTCACCAATTTGGCTAGGCATGTCTTAGCACTGTACGTTCGGGCAAGTCGGCGGAGGCAATGGCAACGGTATCAGGAGTGGCGTCACGATCGTTCATGTGAATAGGCGTCTGGGAGTTTACGCTTGATTTGTTTCTGATTGTGGAGTGTAGGTAAAAGGGGGCCTTCCAAGCATAAAAAAGCTCTGCCGAGTTTTTACACAGTCCACAGCCCCTGGGCTACAGCCTTGGGCATTGCCGGATACCCTAAGACTTGTAGCTTTCTGTTCGTAGAGAGTATGCCTTCAGAAGAGGAGGCACGCTCTGTGCGTAGCGCTTTGCGTCTAAGTCTTAAGACTAAAGGCCTCCAGGTCTCGCTTGGTCAGTCTTTTAGCAGTAAGACCATGGTCCCGGGTCAATGTAGTTTCGGGGCAGCGACACAACTCGAGCAGCTTTTTGAGCGCACAGTGCAGTATGGCGAGAACCAGTCCGGACTGTTGCTTGGGTCTATAGGCAGTGACAGACGATCCATTGTGACATGCGCGATGCGTAACTTGCGTGTCAAGTTCGGCAACTTTACGGTCGTATACCTCAATGGTGTCATTCTGCAGAATGAGCTCGAGGCCTTCAAGGAACTGACGGCTCAGCTTACTCGAGCCACAGCAGTAAAGCATCCGGTATGCCTTACAATTGATTGAAGCATTGAGGCATAGGATACAATTTTGATAATCTTGGATGGAATTGTGGTATATACGGATAGGTACTCTCTTACTGGAACATGTACGAGTATCTACGCAGTCTACTTGTCGCTAAAGCCGAAGCAAAGGACCATGTGATTGTCATCCTAGACGCCTTAGAGAAGTTTGTGCGAGAAAGCAGCAATGCCAAGCAACTGTTGCTTTACAATTTGCTTGATTGGCTTCAGGTTCAGATTCTCGAATGTTTTGCCAAATACTTGTACGTTTATTAATTTGACATGCCGTTTTGATAATTAAACTAGGCAGGAGACATCAAGATGGGTGTGCTAGGTATTACTGATAATTACAATGTCGTGGACAATCTGGAAAAGCGAGTGCGTTCCAGGTAGGATTCGAACCTTTTTTTGCCTGAAACCAATAGATGCATCAGTCTCAACGTTGTATTTATTGGAGTGATATTTACTGTGTCGTATTTCTTGTTTGAGTATGTGCCAGGTTTTCAAACCTTCAAATTGTTATTGAACGACCCTCTTTCGAGCAGATACGGCAATACCTGGTGCACTCGCTTTCACTCGACCACTTTCCATGGGACTCTCACAGCGAATTAAAAAAACCATCAGCCGAATACGCAGCAAGTTTTTCCAAAAGTGTAAACAAACTGATGCTAGAGCAAAGCAAGTTCCTTTCGAGCCTCGAATTTGACTACGATATTGGCAAGCCGCAGGCCTTTTTTGTAAGCCTTACTGCCGCTGCAGTGTACTACATTGATGTTGACAAGCCGCTACTTACAGCGCAGCATTTTTGGCTTGCTAGACACCTGTTGGAGCAAGACCACCAACTTGCCGTTTTAGAGACTGTTACAGAGCATGGCATCGCGCTGCTAATCGGGATGGGGCATCTGGAAAAAGGCGACCAGCGTGTATTCACGCTGGAAATGGTATATGCTCGGTGGGAAAACTTTCTTCGCCAGCACGACATGCTCGCACAACTGCCGACGCGTGGCGAAGCCCAAAAAGCTTTGGAAAATCTGCTGCGACTGAAGCTTGTTAAGGATGCGGGAGATGCTTTCAAGATTGGGTGCAGTGGGAAAGGTTTCATGAATCAAGGTTTTTCTAGCTCATTGCAACCTGAATTTCGGGCTGTACACTTGAATTTTGCGCCGCGAACCCTGGCAGGTATGCTTCGTAATGGTAGTATTCAGTGCTCGACATTGCTGAAAGAATGGGCTATTAATGGAAGCTAATAGCAACAATTCGCTATTGTAGAGGTTAGATTTGTTGTGTCCGTATAAAACTAGGAAGCAATGTCATCTATATTAACAAAAATCTACTTGCTTTAGACAGCAAGTGATGTTTGTAGTGGGGACAAATTTTGGCAAAGATACTCACTTCTCTGGGTCGATTAAAGAGCAGTCAAACAAAGCAGGTGTGCTGCTGTTATCTTAAAACACAAAGCAACGCCATAACCCCGATACTTCTATGACTCATACCTTCGAAAATGTGGCATCAAATGCTTTATGTCAAGAATACGTCAAACTACAACCACTCATCGTACTTGATTGCTCTCTTCCTGTCGTTCAGCACAATGATGATATCCATCTACCACCTGTGTTAATTGTGTGCTAGCAAGAAACCACTTCGGTCGTCTGACGGAACCAGCTGGGACGTGCTCCAAGAAAAAGTGAAGCGGCTCGAAAACTTTCAATACTTTTCCTGGGGTCAGCTTAAGATATTCGGCTGTTTGGAGGTGAAACTGTGCTTCAAGCACTACCGAGTGCTTTTCCTTGAGTTCATCTGCCGTGGTTTTTTCCAGGTTGGCCGTGACTTGATGGATACGACATTCGTACGCAACAAAGCGTGATAATATTCCGCAATACCGTGTCAGACAGATCACGATATATGCGCGGTTTTGTATCGACTCTACTACGCCAATTGAAGTCATTGGTGAGGAATAACCGCTCTGTTGTGGCAGTAAGTGTTGTCCGTGTGATCGGAGCAGCGTAAGTTCCCTGTTGCTCTTGCGAATCGCCTTGCGAACTACATCACCAATGCCACCACGAATTCTAGAGACAACCTCGTTACCCTTGAACTTCCGACTAAGGGCATTGATTGTCGACACGCGCTTGTTCGGAGAAAAAATATGCGGCGCAAAACGCTCGGCTCGCATATGATGTTCGGTATCCAGGATTGCATCATCATCCGTAACATTTCTTTTGGCCCCTTGCTAAAAATAAAACAGTCATTGTACACAGCAACTTAAACGTTAGTAAAAAACAGCATTGTTCACCCATCGACGTTAAGCAAGCACACCTGACAAAATGATACCTCATCGCTGGTCGTTTGATGGTGCTGTGACAGCAGCGTAGCGCGCTGCAATACATCTGACAGATTTTGTCTTCTGGAAGAAAAACAGGTGCCGTTCAAACTATCGTCCAGGGTCGATCGATTTTGCGCTACTCTTGAGTCTGACATATTCGCCGGCATCGACTTGCGTCTACTGGTAGCAACAATAAGCAGTAAACGTCAACAACCATACGCGTCATCTGATACTAACAACATGATATCCCACCTCGAAACCTCCAGCTGCGAGCGTCGCTTGAGGATCGCGCTCAGCGATTTGCGGCGGTTCTTGGTGTCTGTAGGTGATGGTTTCCTTGAACTCCATCTCGTCGGCCTTGAATGTGCTGCCTCAAAGCCCAGCTTCTTCCTGATTGTACTATTATCTCTAGCTGTGTGTCCATTGTGTTGTTGATTACGTTTTAATATCGGACGAAGGTTGTCTTCATTGCCGCTATTACCGAGAGTGCTGCCTCTACTAATTGCCTGTTGTTTCTCGCTTGATGAAGCGCCGATGGCCACTGCCGAATTGTTGTGGTTCCTACCAGCAATTCTTCGACTTGTATCTTTTTCTGCATCAAGAGCTACTGACTCTGTCACCTTCGGTGTCTGTTGTTGCAGAAGCGACTCGAACGGATTTTTCTCCTCATCCGCTTCGTTTCCGCTGTCGTCTATGGGCAAACATCAGTCTCAACTAGTAGAACTAACAAGTAAGCCAGCTAGTTACCCACCAAGACTAAAGAGAGGCAGTTGCTGTCGTGGGAAGACCTGGTGGCCGCTGCGTTCTTCAGCCACTTTCGTCGGTGCTGACACAGCTATACGAGGTCGCGCAGGGACAGCAACAGCATCAGGGACCAGCCGCAGATTGCGTCTGTGAGATTCTGCATCCAGGTCGTAATATACCACACGCTCCTCTCCCTCCTCCTTCTCCATCTCCTCCTCATCCTCATTCTCATAATACCGTGTCATGATTTGTTCGCTACTTCGACGCATTAGTAACAATTCAAAACTCCGTCACTTTTTTTCACAATTTTTGCTTCCTTTTCAAAAAATGTGAAAAAGGTGACGGAGTCTACGTCTTCTTCGGACGTCTCGACAACCTGCCTTGGCGGATGGTATACCTCATGAGATATTGTTTACATTCTAAATGGTCAGTCGTTTGCTGAGCTATACAAGTGACATCTTAGGAGTATAAAATCTTCGCTAACGATAATTTTGTTGCCAGCTCGGCAGGTGAATGTCAGCGAACAGCCAAGGAAGCCCACTGTAATATGATGCTTTAACTAAGTAAGAGCTCGTTTAGTAACAAAGATCCAGATCTGACGGTTTGGCTAGCTCGTTCAATTTGTTTAAGCTCAATATGCTGGGTCTTGTAATGGCAAAGTTGGAGCATTTTGAGATAAGGCAGCGCTTCGTATTACCACTTCAGCAAGATCTTACAAACGCTCCAACGAAACGAAAGCATCGTACCCACACCCGGGTGACAGGGGTCATACCAAATTGCGAGAAGATGCTGGCGACGAAGTTGCTCGATATCGCTCACGGTTATAGGTCTGATCTTGATCATATATTTTTTAAATCCTCTTACCATAGTAGTGTCCTTCATACCGCAGTCATTTTTTCGTTGTCCCCTGAACATATTTAAACTTTTACCGTGACAGCAATGGTACGTCGCCAGTATCGCTGCTACCATTAGTCAATACTTGGAGCTGGTGAGATCAGCCAATCGATTCGAGCGTTGAGCCACTTTGTCTTCATAATTTCTTCGAGTGAATTGGAGGCGTGGCCACCACTTGTACAGACATTTTCCATAGGCACCGACTTACCAATGAACTCCGTTAATGTATCGAGCGTCACACGACACTTTGTAAGTTGACGGCGCCGTCCTTTGTTATGACTGTCGCTGCTTCCCAGCCCGTTGTAGTAAAACCAATCAAATGAAACTACTGGAAGTGGAACTGCAAGTAAGTCAGACGCCGAAACTGGCAGATTGGCTGGAATAGAATCAGCCGAGCCACCTCGATCTTCGGCGTCAAACTGTGCTTGTAATTCCCGCGCAAGATCAGAATCAGAGCGCTGAAGAGGACGACGTTCCGACTCTGTAACGTTCGTATCGAATTTTCCAGATAACGCCAATTCAAAGTCATTGGTGTGTAGCAGCACCGAAATGACCTTCCAGTACTCGTCCCAGAGTATAATACCGGCGCCACTCGATAATTCGAGTCTGGTCACTAGTCGTGTCATCCAGCGCTCATTCAAAAAAATGCTAGACTCCACTCCCAGCTGCATCAGTGATTCGGCCAGCGACGATATCTCCATAAAGCCAGTCTCCATGGGATCAAATTGCTTGAATACTCGCTGAACCCGCTGAAAAAGCTGTCTGGAGGTCGAGTCTTCGCTAACCCAAGCTTCTAGGGCAAAGCCGACGCTAAAGTGTGAGGAGCTGCCAATCACCCACACAGGAAACTGAGGCGACTTGTAGTAGCTTCCAACTTGGCAGTAACGCAATGCCTCTAGCTGCGTCAGGTAGCCTATGCGTGCCCGCTGCGATACGCCATGCAAGAACAACCCCGAGTCACCCATTGGAACGTTCCCATCAAACACGTTAGACACCGCCTTGCCCGTGAGCAACAAGTTTAGTAACTCCTGTGTGCAGTGTCCAAATGCCCCCGTCAGAGTGTTCGTTGGGTCGTCCATTTCCTCGCGTATAGCGGCAACGCCCTTGGTCCGAAGCACACTAAACGTAAAGTTAATGACGCCGTGCGGACTGCAGAACGACGGCATTTCGCACAGCAATAGCTCCACCAGCTCCTGGTACGGATTAGGATCGGCTACACCAAGGAGCGACACCGTAATTTCCCTGTACGTCGCCTCCGAGTCGTGCACCACCACGCACACCGCTCTCCCATTGTCGGCACATTGCGCCAGCAGCGAGGCCATGGCCTCCGCCAGCAATTGTCGCCTCGTTGCGTCGTCCTGCGGTCGCCCTATCAAATTTTGCAGCTCAATGCCGTTGTCACTCAGCGTCTCCAGGCGACGCACAAACAGGAAGAGCCGCAGCATTTCGGCCTGCACAGCCGCCAGTATGCCGCATGGCCCGCCGTGGTCCTGCACAAGCCCGATCGAAAAGCCCTGTAACGCCTGAAACTTAAAGCCCTGCTGATACCACCGCTGCAAGTCATCACACGTACCATCGTCTGTCGTCGGCCAAAGCAGACGGTGCAGCTCGCTCACCTCCGCCGCGCGTAAGGTTTTCATTGCGATTGAAGTTCGTTTTGAACTTTCGTTAATTCGTGTGGTTTACACATTGGGTGGTCGATCGTGCCATCGATCTTGAACCCACCCGACTTATCGCGGGAATGTTAAAGTGTGACGTGTGTTGCGTGCTCTATTTTAATCTTATGGCGAATATGAGCGTTGCACATGGCATAACATCTACACTACTAATAAAGGCTTTCAAGCACCTGGGATCTGGTCCTCACGGTAGAAAAACAAATCTGAACAGTTTACTGGTCCGTCTGCTGGAGAGCTCATCGCAGGGCCACATATATATCGTGCCAGATTGCTACTGCCAAGGTGACATGGGTTGCCCCTACCCACTCCGTTCAGAAGCAGATTCCTAATGTCCTTAGATGTAAGGACATTAGGAATCTGCTGGTTACAGAAACTATAACAATGGACGTTGTTTCCTTGCAGACGAGTAATTTCTGAAGAAAACATGTACATGTATCACAGTTTCTGCTCACGCAGACCGTCATTCCGAATTGACTACAAGGGGGATAAATGAATTCAGATGTCGAAATTTACGAAATTGTTGTTGACATTTATTATATAACTATGCATAGTATCAAGATAAAAGAGTTAATTCCATCGAATTTTCTCAGAAATACCAAAAACGCTCATTTTTGAGGTCGATTTGGTGTAATGGTGAGGAAAAAGACAAGCCTTGTCCATGCAGCAAAGCGTCCATTCGCCATTTCTGTCAAAAGCTGGTAAGATGCAGTACAAACAGGAAACTAAGCGGGTGAACGACGCGCCAGAGCTTACCACGCCCTCCCAGGCAGCTGCCACTGGCCCCGCATGTGAACAGGATGCGATCGCGTATTGCCAGAAGGAGGCCAGCTTGATGGCTCTACTACGCAGCGCACCCGAATTGGTGGAGCCCCTGAAAATCATCGACGCGGTGCGGAAAACACGCCTCTGCATGATTGCACACGCCGATGTGCTGTCCATAGACTGCATGAATACACTGGAGGCCGATGATGTTACCAAAGCGTCCACGGCGTCAGAATCTTCACCGTCCAAGAAGGTGGCGGCGCTCGATAATATCGGGCTCGACGACGACTCTTCGATGGAAATTAACATCTATTACTCTAGACACCACAACGGCGCAGGCCATGCTCTGCGTTCGGGCAGTAGTGCACTAGCTGCCAACCATGTCCAGTCGGAAGGATCGATGTCCAACCTCGCAGAAGTGCTGGCGCATCCGCTCACCTGGGCGTTTGTACTGCCATTCTTTGGTATCGGTGTGTACGTTTGTTTTACCAGGTTGGCGACATTCGTGCGTCGACGACGGGAGGAGCGCCGGATTGAAAGCAAGCTGTACATGCCTGTTAATTGATATTGGCGAGAGTATTGTACAGTAACAGTAAAGGGGCGCGGTAGAGCATTTGTAGATATATAATGAAAGAAAACACGTTTTTTAGCATTTAATCCCATATTGCGATCCTGCCATAAGGCTGTGAAATTGGTATTTGTGTATAAAACATCGACAATTGTGTATACCACGTATAGAAATAGCTTGACGCGTGGATCCAATTCACAAATTCCTATTTCTAAGTATCCCCCATCAAGATGCAACAGAGCGGCTACGGCGGCTATGACCAACAACAAACCGGCTACGGTCAGTCTCAGCAATATGATCAGCACCAACAGCATGGACAACAACAGCAAGGAGGCTATGACCATCAGCAGTACGGCCAACAGGGCGGCTACGATCAGTATAGTCAGCAGCAACAGGGAGGATATGACCAGTACAGCCAGCAAGGAAGTTATCAGCCAGGCATGCAGCCACAAGAGTGGGACTTTTATGCCATGGAGGCTAAGGATGGCGTGCGATTCTCGTGGAATTCATGGCCCTGCACGAAGCTGGAGCAGACACGTTGCGTTATGCCCATTGGCTGTCTGTATCAGCCATTGAAGCCTATTGATGGCATGCCGCCTGCCGTAGAGTACGACCCCATTCACTGCAAGGCCTGTGCTGCCGTGCTGAATCCCTTTTGTCAGGTCGACTTTGTCTCCAAACTCTGGGTGTGTCCCTTTTGCGTGACGCGTAATCACTTCCCTCCGCACTACGCTGAGAACATTACGCAAGAGAATCTTCCGGCCGAGCTCATCCCGCAGTACACGACGCTGGAATACGAGCTACAGAACCGTCAGGCCGGACCTCCCGTATTCGTCTTCTGCATTGACACGTGCGTTCCTGAGGAGGAGCTAGAGGAGCTCAAAGATTCTATTCAGCAAACGCTCAACCAGTTGCCGCCTGATGCGCTCATCGGCCTCGTCACTTTTGGAACCATGGTGCACGTGCACGAACTGGGATTCCCGGAAGTGCCAAAGTCTTACGTTTTCCGAGGCAACAAGGACTTCACTGCTCAGCAGGTGTACGATATGCTAGGCTTGGCCGCGACACGCAAGCAGCAGCAGCAGCCGACGCAGGTCCAGCCGCTGCAGCAGACTACGAACTCGGCGCGTTTTCTTCTCCCAGTGTTTGAATGCGGCTTCACACTCGAATCCATTCTGGAGGATCTGCAGCGTGACCCGTGGCCCGTGGCAGCCGACCAGCGACCACAACGTTGCACGGGTGTTGCAATGTCGGTATGTGTCGGTCTCCTGGAGGCCACGTTCCGTGGCCGGGGAGCCCGTATTATGATGTTCGTCGGCGGGCCTCCTACAGTTGGGCCCGGTGCCATCGTCAGCCGTGACCGAAAGGAGGACATTCGGTCGCACACTGACTTGCAGAAAGATAAGGCGCCGCTCAACAAGAAAGCGCTGATGCACTACAACGATCTAGCGGCCCGTTGTGTGGCCTCGAGCCATGTGGTGGATATATTCGCGTGCTCGCTCGATCAAAGTGGTGTGATGGAGATGGCAGCTTGTGTACAGAAGACTGGTGGTGTGATCGTACTTGCCGACTCATTCGGTCAGTCAGTTTTCCGTGAGTCATTCCGGCGTATGTTTAGCAAGTTTTCGGACGAAGCAGCAGATTGCGACAAGGACCAGCTCACAATGGCCTTTGCAGCCTCGGTGGAAGTGCTAACGAGCCGCGAGTTTAAGGTAGCGGGTGCTATTGGCCCTTGCGCTCCCCTGAAGCGCCAGGGCGCGGCGCCAAAGAACGTGTCCGAGGTAGAGATTGGTGTGGGCGGTACCAACGCGTGGTCAATGGGCGGCATTGACCCCAACACTACCGTTGCTATTTACTTTGACATTTCCAACCAGACTCCACTGGCACCTGGGAAGGCTCGCTACATTCAGCTAATTACGCATTACCAGCACGCCAGTGGTCGTTATCGCACACGTGTGACTACAATCTGTGCTCCTTGGACTGTGGATCCGAACGACACAGCGACGCTAGGACGTGGTTTTGATCAGGAAGCCGCCGCTGTTTTATTAGCCCGAATTGCTGTACATCGCTCAGAGCAAGGCGAGGAGCAGTTAGATATTATGCGGTGGATCGATCGATCGCTTATCCGTCTGGCATCCCGTTTTGCCGACTACCGCAAGGACGACCCGTCCTCTTTTCGGCTGTCGCCAGATTTTGCTATCTTCCCTCAGTTTATGTTTCACCTGAGACGGTCGCAGTTCTTGACGGTGTTCGGTTACTCACCCGACGAGAGTTCGTACTACCGTCACTGCTTGCTGCGTGAGAGCACAACAAACTCACTTGTGATGATTCAGCCGTCGTTGTTGTCGTACTCGTTCAATGGACCGCCTGTGCCGGCTCTGCTGGATGCTGCCAGTGTGCGATCCGATACGATCTTGCTGCTGGACTCGTTCTTTTATGTGGTGGTCTTCCATGGTGACACGATTGCCGCGTGGCGTGACCAAAGGTTTCATGAGGATCCTGCCCACGAAAACTTTAAAAACTTGCTGGAGGCTCCGCAGGCCGACGCGCAACTTATCATGGATTCCCGCTTTCCTGTTCCGCGTTACGTGGTGTGCGATCAGCACAAGTCGCAATCGCGTTTTCTAATGGCTAAGCTTAACCCTAGTGTCACGCACAACAGCATGGATGGTCAGGGCGAAGTTATCTTTACGGATGACGTCAGTCTAAAGGTGTTTATGGAGCACCTGATGAACCTAGCCGTCAAGTCGTAGGGGAGCAAGGTGACAGACCAAGATGTTCAAGGAAGGGTGGGGGGACACACGTAAATAAATGGTTTAAAGACAGCTTTTGCTAACCGTGTTGTGGCCTCGATTTGTAGCTAGATACTGGTGCGTCGAAATGAAAGTTGACTCACTTTAATAGCCCATTGTGCCTTATACATTGTGGTGGCGGTGGGAACAGACTGTCTATTTATTGTTATACTTTACAAGATTCTAAAAAGTCCGCAGCCATACTTGTACCCCAGAAGATGTCTCCTGTCAGTCACGAAGGCTGTGCAGTACCGGCTGCCGGTTGACGATGGTGTCTTGGAACCTTTCCGTTGCTAGGCGAAGGTAGACGCCATTGCTCCCATTCCTAACTCGCTGTTGTTTCTTGATAGCGACCGCTCGGAGTTGGCGAAGAAGGCTTTGTTTAGCCGCTATCTGTTTATGGATACTCCGTAAACGCACTTTCCTGCTTATGGATACTCCTGTTCCGCTGAATCCAAAGTGTGGTTACGCAGACAAAGCAAGCTGTCCACCATATTCTTTTCCAGGCCCGGCCAACGATGTCAGCGTTGTCTGGGAACGCGTGCTTGATATCCGCCCGTACTTTCGGGAGGTAGCTTTGGTGCCCGAATGCAAGAACGCTGCTTATTTGTACAAGACCATTTGAGCGGATGATACCTCCGATCGTGTCCACTGCGTGATGATGTATATCTAAGACTTGGACGTACCGACGCAGTCTCAGAGGATATATAGGAGTCCTTTGTGTTGCCCGGGACAGGCCAGATGTCTCTTGTATGACGAGTCCATGTCACGCACCGGAAAGTACAGACTCAACTGATGAGTGGCTACTCTGTAGCAAACTCTAGAATTCCGTAAGAGTGTGTCCGTGTTTCCAGAGATATGCCAGTGACTGCGACATCCGGAAGTGGTTGCCGTCCTGTAAGATGTCACGGTGTTGTAGCCTGGTGATAGCAGCCGTAAGTGCTGGATGAAGCTTTTGTTTGGCGCGATGAAACGGTTGGCGTAGTAGCGCCTTCAAGTGTATGTTTAGCTGAGTCCTTGGCATGTTCACGCTACTCATGCATAGAAGTAGCGATCGCATTTCTGGTTCAGCCACTTCATCGCATGCTTTAGGTTTTAAGTGCATATTGCGACCTCGTTGGAGACGAGTCCTATCCCACCCGCACCTCGTGGCGTGTACAGCAGGCCTGGATTGACTTTGTGTCTGCTGCTGTTTGTAGACGTAGCGTAATGCTACAAAATTGCTTTTTTATGTTGTGCAATTCAGCCTGCGCCCATTGTGGGAGCCAAAAGACCGCAGCTGATAGCATGAAGCATTCAGTAGCAATATTCTTATACCGACGCTGGTTAAGAGGCTTGTCGCGGTGGCTAGACGCTTTCTGACGTACGAATCCGTAAAGCTCAATTTGCGTCAACTAGGTCCTTAGTTCCTACTTGGTATCATACTACTTAGTCCCCCTTATCTAGGTACTTTGTAAGTACAGGGATCGATCGGGTCGATTAATATCCCATTCACTACAAATCGATTCCGAATCATTGTATTGAAGGAACGGTGAAAAGGTGTGTCATCATCATCATGACATGTGCCTTCCATGTACAAAACCTTGTGTACCTTATACATTGTGCATCCATCAGCTGGTACATTGTGCAGCTTGTTTGCGATTAAATGTATAGCATATGCTCATTCTACGTGCACTGGCACGTCGAATGTTTGTCCGTTGCGTTGCAAATGTAGGCACCTCGGCGTCTGAAAGGCTATTCAACACTTCAGAAATATTTCGCCGTTGCAGCATCATTCAAATTATATGTAGGTATAGATCATTTGATGATACAAGTAAGACGATATCGTCCCAACTCTTGCAAACGCCAGAGGGTAATTTCACGTGCACGTCGCAGAATCGTGCCTATAGACACATGGTCCTATCTGACGACTGGTGATTTCACGTGGCCGTACTTCATGTCACTGCCATGAAATCTGTGTGCAATGCATACAGTATCTGTAACCCGTGAATATGCATACCCGTATCGTCTGCGAAATGCACCTAAAAATTGAATTCTTTTGAAAAACCTCGTCCGCCCACGAGCGGACCGTCCGCTACCAGCTGTTATTTCTGGGCGGCATAGTGAATCTTAGTGATTTGCTTTGAAACGACTCTAGCAGTGGGTTTCGTCCTTGCGGTCGCCATCTCCAAGTCAGTTGCGCTTCTTCGCTAAAGAGCTAAGCACTTATACAAGAACACACACACACAAAGAGACTTGCTCATTTAATCCTGACTGGATAAGAAGATTAGTAAGCAGAGTTACTGCTGTGTAGTACAATACCACGTCATTGGCGATCCTATACGACAACAACAAAGAGTCGCTTATGAAGCACAACGACTATGAACTTCATGGCACGCCCTCCACTGGTGCTAACGACGGTGGTGCTGGATTTTATTCTCAAGAAGGTCGCCCTACTTCTCAGAAGGGCTATGTTGACCCGCGCGGGCCTGTCCTTCCACCCATGAACGTCTCGGATGCTGTGGGTCTTGGAGATCAACACGACAATATCATTTCGGTACATGGCTACATGCACAAACAGGGGAAGCGCACTATCAAGGGACCGATCCATAAGAGCTGGAAACGTCGATACTTTGCACTTGAGAAGGCCAAGATCTATTACTTTCACTCGCACTTGGAGTGTCGTCAGTACTTTACTACACGAAACGCCGACCTTGTTGTTGGTGCTATTGAGCTCAAGGATGCACTGCAGTTACGTCCATGTGCGCGTCTGGATTTACCTCACAAGGGCTTTGAAGTGCACACAAAGCGACGCGTTTGGGTACTTTGCCCTGAGACGGACGAGGAGTACCGCATGTGGTTCCAAGGCGTCGAGCGTGCTATTGTAGCCAATGGTGCTGGCAACATTATTGAACGTAAGCTACCCAATGTCCGCAAGTACTTGATGAAGGGCAACCAAACGTACCGGTTCTTCTATTTCTTGTTCCTGATTGCGGGTATTGTGGAGCTATTGGCTCTCGTGTTTTGGTTTGTAATCGGCTTGGAGCCTTGTGACGCGTCACGTCTCGAAGTTGACTGTGCGACGATTACGAGCACGTCTCTAATTACGCTGAGATGCTCGAGCAATCCGTTTAGTGGATGGTTCACGCCACCCAATTGGTATCTTCAGATTGCCGACGTCGAGAATGTGACTTGTTTCCGTGACCCACCTATTCCACAGTGGGTTTCTTACTTCGCCATGCTTTTCGCTGAGGTGCTGACATTCTCTCTAGGTGTTCTCTACTATCTCGGGATGTGGAAGCCTGTACGTCGTGGCGCACACTACTTCGACGAGTTTGAGCCACCCGTTCCTGATGAGCTGTGGCCCAAGGTAGATGTTCTGTTGTGTCACTACTCCGAACCGGCTGAAGAGACTATCGACACGTTGATGGCCTGTATGAACCTACAGTATCCGCCGCACCTCCTCCAGATCTGGGTTTTGGATGATGGCTACTGCAAGGCCAAGTGGGCCAAAGGCAACCCTGTTCCTACAGTGGAGCTGAATAAGGGTATCTTGGAAACTGCTGGCGATCTTCGCCAGGAGGTGGCACAGTTTATGTACGACCGCGTATGCGACCCTAATGAGGACACAGAGGTGTACGCGTGGCGTAAGCTGCATTCGTCCGCCAACTTACCGTCACCGTCGCGTTCGAAGGCGGTGAACCGTGCCGATTGTGCTGTTGGTTCATTCCGTGACGACTACCGCTACCCCGGCCTGCCGCACGTGACGTTTGTTGGTCGTGTGAAACCAGATACGCACTATTCCAAGGCAGGAAACATCAACAATTGCCTGTACAACGAAGGTGCCAATGGCCGCTACCTCATCATCTTGGATACGGACATGCAGCCTCACCCGAAGTTTATTCTGGCTACGTTGCCGTTCTTCTTCGACGACGAGGATCGTCAAGACAAGGCCAAGTATATTTGCTGTGGTATTGGTTGTAACTCGGTGGCGAAGCTTTGCTGTGCATCGTGCCAGATTGCTGGTGTGCCAGAGGAACAGATCAGTTACTGCTCAAAGGATTGTTTCGAGAACGCCATGCACGTGCAGAGTGCGGTCCACCGTCGTCAGGTGAATGGCACCATGAGCGATTCGCGTGCGAACAAGATTGACATGCGTTGCATGAACTGTGATGCGAAGCTCGGCAAGAGCGGTGTCTGTCGCAAGTGTAATCGAGGCACTGGCGACAGTGATGGCGACGACGTGTCGTCTCTTCACACGTACTCGGACAACGTGCGTGACAATGCTGTGGCTTTCGTTCAGACGCCTCAGTACTTCCGCGACTGCATTCAGCTCCAGATTGGCGACCCAATGGGCCACCGTAATGCCACTTTCTACGATGCGATTCAAACTGGTCAGGACGGTTACGATTGTGCCTCTTTTGCTGGCACAAACGCTATGTTCCGTCGCGAGGCCTTGGATTCTATTGGTGGCATTCAGTACGGAAGTCTGACGGAGGATTGTTATACTGGTCAGGTGTTGTGCTCAATGGGCTGGAAGGCGCAGTACTTTCGCAAGGATTTTGAAGGTGAGCCATCGGAGCGTATTCGTTTAGCTGAAGGACTGATTCCGGACTCGGTGGCTGGTTCACTGGCTCAGCGAAAGCGTTGGGCTAAGGGTAATTTTCAAATTGCGCTGATGAACAAGAAGACACAGTACTTTGACCCTGAGTGGAAGGCGCCGGAAGTGCAGGTGCCGTCCTACCACAAGTCGAACAAGTTTATGCGCCGCGTGTTTTACTACAACTCGACTCTTTACCCGCTTGGTTCGATTACGGCTATCCTGTTCTACTACATCACAATCTACTTCCTGTTCTCCGGCTACGCTCCGATTTATATGGCTGGAGTTCGTCTCGTGTATGCCTTGGTGCCAAAGCTTTTCGTGCAGGGCGTGCTGTCCGCTCTGAGCAACCGTACCGTAGACAACAGCGATGTGGTTCGGTCTCAGGAAGTGTGGTTTGCCTACGCATTCACGAATTGCACAGCCGTGCTGGAGGCATTTTGGTGGAAAATCACGGGCAAGGAGCCAAAGTGGTTCAATACAGGCGGTGCGAGCCGTGGCTCGACTGCTGAGCTGCCAAACGTGATCATCTTTATCGGAACTGTCGTGGGCGTGCTGTGGTCAGTGGTGCGTTTCCTGGCTGGTTACAACAGCATCCAGACGTCACACGGCGTATCTCTGCTGTTTGCAAGTCTGATGATGGGTCTTTTCATTGCTGTCAAACTCGCACCGAGCGTGCGCATGAGTATCCAGGAGTACTTTGGCTGGAGCTACGAGAGTTTGATGGACCAGGGCAACGTCCTGGGCTCCATCTCCATTGCTTTTGGACTTGTCTTCATTACACTATGGGTCTGGATCGAGCAGCCGACGTCCAATCCTTTCTAGGGAGGGACGACGTAAAAGCTAGATCCTTAGGCCAGCTAAGTGAGACCTAGGATATGTCGCATTGGAGGCTATTTCGTTTCGCTTTCTATGCTCACATGCTTGATATTCAATACGTTTCTTGCTTCTGCATTTGATTTTATCGTAGAAGGAAATACTTTTCGTAAATCGTTGTATCAATAAGGCAGCCGTGAGGTAAGACCGATCCGACGAGCTTAGTCAAGACACGATATCGTGCGAGGACAGTTCACAGAATCTAACACGTTGATCCGCGTGCGTGCGTGCGTGTACTCCCGTTTCCTTTAACTGACACCTCATTGCTTCGCACGTGACTTACAGGCCATAACAGTGTAACGTATTGATCACCAACGTGATGATTTGAACCAAATCCAAAGGGTGTATGATGTTGTATATCATCAGGCTTCACATAAATGTGATGAAAGGGCATATAAAGCTGGCTTTAAATGTGACGTGGTGATGTCGCACCCCTTGCTATTCAGTAGGAATTGAGCTATAAAAACACTGTGAATGGTACACGATCAGTGGACAGACTGAGACTGAGTGGCTGATACCGTGAGGTTTTTTAGCTGCCAAATAGGTCTCTCTTGACAGAATAGATCGAATCTACTGCTTAACTTAATATAAGTCACAATTGTCTATCAATTACATGCGTTAGTAACTTGACTTATATGTTGGTCATTTTTAATTTGTGTTGTTAACGTCATGTCTTTGACCGAGGTCACAAAAGAGACCGTACTATAACATAATTGCTTTTTTGCATTCGTACATGGCTACTTTATCATTAAAATAGGTCTCACAAACTTGTAATTTAGAAGAGGTGTTCAGAATACTTTCCTAATTTGTCCCACTGCTAGTGTACATGTCAGTTCGACTCTCTCTTCCGTCCGCTCCCCCTTCCCCTTCTTGTCCACTTGCAGCTGTTTCAACCCGTCCGTCGTACTGGCTGCTTTATGTGATAGAGAGAATTTACCCATTAGGAGTTTCAAGAAAGAGCAGAAGAAACCAACGAAAAAGGACTCTTTTATCAAGGTCCAAATACTACCATTTGAGAGAAACACGAGTGAGGAACACACGAAACATTCAATTAAAAGTCTTATCTTTTTATTGTTTGTTTAGAGGTAAAGAGAGAGAGAGTGTTGGTAGATTTCTTCTACTCACATGTGACCATTCTTAACTTCTTCTGCTTCTTGTGACTATTGTAGCCTCATTCGTACCGACAGTACCAAGCAAGCTCGTAGACAATCATGTTCCACAAAGAAAAACCGGTTGTTCCCGTGACGGACGACTATGCAATGTACGCGACGCCTTCTGCCATGGATGTGCATCAACCTGGTGAGACAGACATTGTCCGTCGATCCCCTGATTCTATTGATCGACCGTCAATGCCCTCGGACACGGACGGAAACTTTCAAGACAATGTGATTACGGTACATGGCTACATGCATAAACAAGGGAAGCGTGCTATCAAAGGTCCCATGCACAAGAGCTGGAAGCGCCGATACTTTGCATTGGAAAAGGCCAAGATTTACTACTTTCATTCGCATTTGGAATGCCGGCAGTACTTTACCACACGTAATACGGACCTCGTGGTTGGTGCCATTGAGCTCAAGGACGCACTACAGTTGCGTCCCTGCGCTCGACTTGATTTACCCCATCGGGGTTTTGAAGTCACGACAAAGCGCCGTGTCTGGGTGCTCTGTCCTGAGACGGAAGAAGAGTACCGACTTTGGTTCAATGGTGTCGAGGAGGCCATTGTGTCTTGTGGCTCGGGCAACATTATTGAGCGAAAGCTTCCGAACGTCCGAAAGTATTATATGAAGGGCATCATGACTTACCGCATCCTCTACTTTCTCTTTTTGCTCCTGAGTGTGATCGAGATCTTTGGTTTGATCTTTTGGTTCGTCGTGGGTACTCAGCCTTGCGACTCTGGCAATCGAACGCTGGCTTGTGAAGAAGTGTATAACAACACTCCTGATGAGCTCAACTGCCTTGCTGACCCCATGAGCGGTTGGTATACGCCGCCCGATTGGTATATGACATTGGCCGGTATCGACGACGTCGCATGCTTCCACAACCCGCCAATTGCTCAGTGGGTGTCGTTCTTTGCCCTGATCGTCGCGGAGCTGGTGTCTATTGTGCTTGGTGCACTATATTACCTCGGTATGTGGAAGCCTGTGCGTCGTGGTGCTCACTACTTTGACGAATTCGACCCTAAGGTGCCTGACGATTTGTGGCCGAAGATTGATGTTCTGTTGTGTCATTTTTCTGAACCGGCTGAAGAAACGATTGACACGCTGATGGCCTGCATGAATCTGCAATACCCGCCGCACCTTTTGCAAATTTATGTACTAGATGACGGTTACTGTAGCTCCAAGTGGACAAAGGGTAACCCTGTTCCAGCTATCGAGCTTAATAAGGTGATCCTTGAAAAGTCCGGTGATCTTCGCCAGGAAGTTGCTCAGTTTATGTACGACCGCGTGTGTGACCCTAACGAGGATATAGAGGTGTACGCGTGGCGTAAACTTCACTCATCAGCCAACCTTCCTTCAGCATCTCGTCCAAAGGTTGTGAACCGAGCGGACTGTGCTGTTGGTTCATTCCGTGACGACTACCGCTACCCCGGCCTGCCGCACGTGACGTTTGTTGGTCGTGTAAAGTCGGAGACACACTACTCCAAGGCAGGCAACATTAACAATTGCCTGTACAACGAGGGTGCCAACGGTCGCTACATGCTGCTTCTAGACTCGGACATGCAGCCTCACCCGAAGTTTATTCTGGCTACGTTGCCGTTCTTTTTCGATGATGAAGACCGTCAGTACAAGAACAAGTACTCTTGCTCGTGCATGGGCTGCCAAAATGTGGCAAAGATGTGCTGTGCTTCGTGCAAAATTGCTGGTGTTCCGGAGGAGCGCATTAGCTACTGCTCCAAGGAGTGCTTTGAGAATGCAATGCACGTGCAAAGCGATCTGCATCGTCGCCAAGTGAACGGTACTTTGAGTGATACTCGTGCCACGAAAAAGGAACTGCGCTGCATGAACTGTGACTCGAAACTGGGCAAGAGCGGTGTGTGCCGCAAATGCAATACAAACAACAACAATGGCGATGCGAACATGTCCATTTTGCACACGTACTCGGACGACGTGCGTGACAACGCTGTTGGTTTCGTGCAGACTCCGCAGTACTTTCGTGACTGTGTGCAGCTGCAGATCGGTGACCCGCTTGGCCACCGTAATGCTGCGTTCTACGATGCAATCCAGACGGGCCAGGATGGGTACGACTGTGCGTCCTTTGCTGGTACCAATGCTTTGGTGCGTCGTGAAGCGTTGGATTCGATTGGTGGCATTCAGTACGGCACGCTGACAGAGGACTGCTACACTGGCGAGCGTCTTGTGTCAATGGGCTGGAAAGCGCTGTATTTCAGAAAGGATTTCGAAGGGGAAGCTCATGAGCGTATTCGTTTGGCGGAAGGAGCCATTCCTGATTCAGTTGCTGGAGCTATGGCACAGCGCAAGCGTTGGGCCAAGGGCAACTTCCAGACCGCTTTGATGAAAAAGAACAAGAACGTTGCCGATCCGGAGTGGAAGCGTCCGCACGTGGATATTCCAAAGTATCGCAAACCGAACAAGTTCATGCGTCATGTGTTCTACCTCAACTCGACATTGTACCCGATCGACTCGATCCCGGTAATCCTAGTGTACTACGTCACGCTGTTCTTCCTGTACACGGGCTATGCTCCGATTTTCGTGAACGGCTTACGCGTGCTTGTGGCTCTGGTGCCCAAACTCATTGTACAAGGTCTGCTGTCAGCGATGAGTACGCGCGGTGTTGAAAACAACGATGTTGTGCGATCGCAAGAGACGAGGTTTGTGTACGCATTTACCAACTTCACCGCAATGCTTGGCGCCATCGTATGGAAGTTTACTGGTCGCAAGTCGAAGTGGCTCAACAAGCATGATGCTACGCGCGGATCGCTGGCTGAGCTGCCGAACGTGCTGGTGTTCTCCGGTGCCGTCTTTGGTATTATCTGGGCCATTGTGCGCTACATCGTTGTATACTACAACCGCGTGTACTCGCACGGCGACTCGATGCTATGCGCTGCTGTTTTTATGGGTTTCTACATCGCGTATAACCTGGGTCCTACCGTTCGAATGAGCATTCAGGAGTACTTTGGTTGGAGCTATCAGAGTTTGATGGACCAGGGTAACTTTATGGGCTCAGTCTCGATTGCTGTAGGCCTCATGTTCATTGCGCTATGGGTTCACGTGGAAAAGCCTGTTAATGGCTAGAGGACTACGTTGGTGGGTAGATATCTACATCAGGTTCAGTCATCTGATAAGTAGCGCCAAGGGGGCGGTACTACTTTTATTTTTCATTAGTTTGCTATTATGCCATGTCTCGGTAATGAATATGGTTTTATAATGCTTGTACGCGTCGAGGTTATGGAGGTGTATTGCTACAATAGGCGTACTGTAATACAGAAAAGATTCGTGACTGGATAGCAGAACATGTCGCTTTTTGACCAGTTCTCGGCGTTCATTGGATACCCCTCGCGCGTGCAGCTAGATGATGGCACATCCACTGACGGTGTACTGTACTGCATAGACCCAGAGACAGACCACGTAGCACTCCTATGCCCTTCAGGGCACGAAGTGTCGAGTTATAGCGTTAAGATTGTGCTGGCTCACAACGTCCGAGGCATCAAAAAGATGTTACAAGAAAGCTCCGATCTCCCCACGCTTGTTGCGCTTGAGGAAGAGCTGAAAAAAGACGACGAGCGAAATAGTCTGAAAGACACTGCTAGCATCCAGCGCCGTCGGAAGGAACTCGGTCAGTTCTTAACAAAGGTAAGTTATTACTGTATGTGCAGCACTATCACACTCGTTTCAATACTAACGATTGCTCATTGTTTACTTGCAGAACTTTGTTTCGTATGAAATGGTAACAGATAGTAGCATTCGTGTTTTCGGAGGTGCCGCGACGGTGCGCGAGCCTTTTCACACCGTGGAATGCGCTAATGAGCAACTTTTACGACAAATGCAGCAGCTTCTGAACCAATTTAATCAGCATCAGCACGATGCTTTCCCCTCCTTGGTGTAATATGTACACACAAACAACCGAGGCGCCGGTGGAATTGGCCTACGAGCCCATTCCACGCGGCATTTCAGAAATTATGCAGGGCAAATCTCCTGATCGCGATTCACCGCAAGGACGTGACGTCCATGTTGCGCCTAAAATGGGCCTGCCCTTTTTTAAATGATCCATTGAAAGCAAAGTCATGCTATAGCAGCAGCTGGCACCTCTGTACGTGCGGGCCGTATAGAATACGATTCTGTAATACGGAGTGTCTCGGTTCCTTTACTTTTTTTCTACGTCGTTAACGTTACTTTTCGACACTATCAAGAAGAATGGAAGCCAGTAAATGTCGTCAAGGTTGCTTGGGAACCTTACGTATCTAACTTTTGCAGAGCTCATATAGTAGTCCCTTGTGACGGAGCATGCATTCATCAGAATAATATCAGCGTTGGCATATAGAAAACTTTATCGAGTATAGTATATTTACAAGCTTTACTTTATTTCGATAGATTCATGTGTAATGTCTTGGCTATAAAAGTATATAAATTTGTTGAAGCTCTATGAAGAGTATAGGATTGGAAAAGTAGCGTTGAGATGTTTGCAAAGTAGTCAGCGCAAAGACCAATGTATACTTTGAAACGCCGTGGACTTGTGGCCAGCGTCGGTGTAGTACAGCAAAGTTAATACAATACTAAAATGCATATTAATTTAGCAAGATACCGAAATTGGACGCGTTGATACTTTCGGACAGACAGATGTTGTTGTCGTATATGCGACGTGTGGGCACTGACTCGTCTTTTTGCGAGTTCATCTGCCTTTTTTTTCGTTAAGGTTCGATCGACGACCAACATTCCTTGCTCGAATAAGTCGAAAGGCTCTGCAAGTCTAGCGTAGTTGTAGTATAAAACTAAGTACGTGGTCGCATTGCGGTAGGAATCGATTGTAAAGTATTATTTTCGTATGAAATTGTAGCACATCATCAACTGATTTACGTCCCGAATCTCTCAATACGTTTCAGCTCAAAGACCTTTCTGCTCTCGTCAACCGCCACTCCACTCTCATTTTTTCTATTGAGCCCTCAACCGATCGATCAAATTTAATCGGTATGCGTGTATTGCAAGCCATGCGGGCATTAGCCAGTGGCCTTCGCAGTCGCCCTCGTAACGGCAACGAGCGTGACTTGGCATCTTTTCGTTCCTCTTCACATCACAAGACACAGACGCGCGCCCGCACCGCGTATAATTCAAAGTGTGACGCTGTTGGACCTGATGAGACGGTGCGCAATGCAGTGGCGTTTCTAATGCAGGAAGACGCTGAAAGTGCGCTTATCTTTGCACTTGTGCATGATCCCGAGTTCCGCTTGGCCTCGGCGCTTGCAACGGTACGCAGCAATAGCAGCTATGGATATCCGGGACGCTCCAATTGTAGTAACTTACCATGTACATCTCTCTTTTTTTTGTATCTGCAGATACCGTCCGGAGCTGACGTGAATGTGATTCGAGCCTTGTTGTTTGTGTTTGAAAACTACGAGGATCAACTACGGAAACTTCTGGGACTGCTCATGTTTCGAGAGATGGTGCATACACTCAACTGGAACGAGCTCTTTCGAGCCAACTCGGCTGCAACAGCTGTACGTCTGACCTTTTGGATAAAGTTTGTCGATGTGAAAGTATAAATATTGACGTTTGCATTCTACTTTCTTTGGTGTTCGTTACTTGTGCTGCAGTTGCTGCGCGAATACACGTGCGAACTCGGCGGTGAGTTTCTGCAACACGCGCTGGCGGACGTCATCAACGATCTGTGGATCAACTCGGACGGATACGAGGTGAATCCGCGCTTTTTGCAGCCACAGGACAATTTACATGCCAACCAGCAGCGACTTGAAGCGTTGGCCGAGCGCACGTTGGACCGGATTTTTAATGCAGTGTCGATATTCCCGTATCAAATTGCGAAAATCTATCGCGTGCTGGAGTTGGAAATGACGCGATTAATTGAACGAGATCGACGTAGCAACGTGTCGCTACCAAGACTCAGCGCAATGCGAGGAAGTTGTCCTAGCCTACTTTCCTCGGACACTGGTAATCACAACAACAGCTTCATTGAGAGCACGTCAAGGGAAAGTGCTGGACATTTTGGAGGACTGCCACGGCTCAGTTCCATTGAAGAGGATCTCTTAGACGAAATGCTCACGCAGTCAAACAACTCCAATGGATCGTGTTCGACTATTGCTGCTGCGAAGGAAGAGTTCTTCATGCACTTGGGTGGGTTGGTGTTTCTGCGATTCCTGTGCCCCGCGCTAGTAGTCCCGCACAAGATGAACTTGACCCCAGGAAATGCTGCGCCAGGCAGGCAAATGCAGCGGACACTTGTGCTGCTGGCAAAGTTGATGCAGTCTTTGGCAAACAACGTCGAGTACAGCGCATCAACCGAGCCGTTCATGGTGCCATTTAATGCCTTCCTTGCACGCAATAGGCTCAAGCTTATGCGCTTCTACGATCATTTGTGTCAACGAGCACAGAATGATCCTCGTCGAGAAAGTCTTGTTGTGCGTAGCAATGTTGCCCCGCGATTGTCGCAGCTTTGGTCGAGCCGGAGTGGCAGCAGTCTAGGCAAAGATTCGTCGATTGTAAACCTCACAGGGGCACGCATTATGGAGGCTCCAGAAGCGTCGTATGCTGTTTTGCGCAATTGGATGGGTTTACATCTCGACTACTTGGCTCAAGAAGTGGCAGATAACAATAAGTTTCGGCGACAACAACAGATCGTCGTAAACAATGGAAGCAGTAGTAGCAGTGGGACTTCCACTCCTCCAACGACGTCTACTCTATCGATGACAGCATCACCTGTAAAGCCTCAACAGCGACCCAAGAGAAAACTGAAGTCGTCGAAAAGCGCAACATATCCGACTGAAATCCAGGAGGAGGAAGACAAAAAAGTTAATCTGGTCGCGAAAGCTAATCAGCGTCGCAATATCACCATGCCTGTATCACTGGATGAGCTGGACAAAATCATGGGCCACACCAGTCATCGCGACAATCAGTTAATGAAGGTTTACTACGCTACGCTCTCACAGAATGGTCTGCGGCGATTACTTCATGTGAACGATGTAGATGGCGCAGAGTGGACAGTGTACAAGAGTCGCGGAGATGTGAAGGTGTTTCGGAAAACGCCTGCTCATTTCTTGTGCTCGTCCGGAGGCTTTGCTTCTGAAAAGGATCGATTTGTAGAGATGAAAGGAAATGTCATTATTCGCTCAACTCCTAGGCGTGTGTTCCAGTATCTACAAACACTCGATGGAGGCAGTATGAATGATGACAAGGCATTGATTAGAAAAGTGGAACCTCTGGATGAGTCCAGGGCAGTACTTTATCATCAGCACTCGAAACTATCGCTGTGGCCAGCGTGGCTGGTGAAGCCTCGTGATTCGTGTGACCTTCACAGCTTCATTGAGAAGACAGGTCGGCCAGATACGTACGCAGTGCTGCAGGAGTCAATTCCTCGTGCAGATGTACCTGAGCGCAAGGGAGTTGTGCGTATGGCGCTTGCTACTGGTGGGTACTTGATTGAATCATTTGCAGGCGAGGATGAGGAAGACTCAGATACGACTTTTACACGGCTTACATGCGTCGTACGGGCAGACTTTAAGGGACTGATGCCTCGGTACCTAGCAGAGAGCATTGTTTATCGGCAAGTACTGGAAATTGAGGCAATTCGTTCATCTGTGGAATCGACACAGCTCGAGTTGAACGCATGGGTGTAACATTATAGCCCTGAACACGACGATATCTGCCATGTGATGGAAAGGTGGACGACAGCCGAGCTTTGAACGTCGGCTCGTGTATATAGTATGAATAATAATAACAACGCTAACTACTTATTGAGAAGTTGCTCAGTTGCGATTCTTGCTTGGTCACTCAAAAGAAGTTCTACGGTTCCACGATGTTTATGCGGCACCACTTGTGCTCGTTTGCCGACATATATGTTGACTACGCACCAGCTACGCCCACAAAACTTCCGAAATGAGGGAAGCGCGAGTGAGGTCAAAGCACGAGACGCCATTCAATGCCGGCATTTGAGTCAAGTGGAACCGTCATGGGGGCACCACTTGTGCTCAAATTTCTTGACATGAAGGTTGACAAACTTCCGAAATGAGAGAAGCGCGAGTGAGGTCAAAGCACGAGACGCCATTCAATGCCGGCATTTGAGTCAAGTGGAACCGTCATGAGGGCACCACTTGTGCTCAAATTTCTTGACATGAAGGTTGACAGAACTTCCGAAATGAGGGAAGCGCGAGTGAGATCAAAGCACGAGACGCCATTCAATGCCGGCATTTGAGTCAAGTGGAACCGTCATGAGGGCACCACTTGTGCCCAGGTTTGTTAACATGAAGGTTGACTACGCACCAACTAAGCCCACACAATTTTTGAAAGGAGGGGACGGCACCACAAGAGCCAAATACAATGACGAGAAAAGATATCGGCTTGATCTGTGGGCGTAGTGATGATTTCCGTGGTAGATGGAAATCTTACGAGCACGCGTGTTGAAGTCGGGGTTGCACACTTCAATCTCCACATGTTATATCACACAGGCGTGGCAATTCATCATAAAGGGTGACAAAAGATTCAAACGCCTTGTCTTCATCTCCACAACAGAATCGAAGGCAGTCACATGCTGTGGGGATCATGTCTATACGGTAGCCTATCACTTCGTTATAAGTCGAAAAAGCTTGCAAGAGTCGTATGATGTTCTGCTTTTGCAAAAAGTTGCACTGCAACTCCTTCACTTTCACTGCAACATCGTGTGCAATCTCTTTGTACTGTGGGCACTCACCACACGAGCAGAGATACTCTTCGACATAGATGGAGCTTGGTGTTTCTTTACTTTTGGTAGACTTGATCCAATTCAAATGCAGCAATTGCTCCGCATGTGTCTCGCAGTTGCAAGTGTTACAATGCATATTGTTAGCGTCGCTAATAGATTGAGACAAGTTGTCAGCTGAAGAGTTCACGTCTTCCCATTCATCATTCAGGTCATTTTCAAACTCATCGGAATCGATGCCGGTGTCGGCCTCAATGTCAATGAACAAGTCAGTCACCTCAGTTGTGCAGGAATGGCAATCGTCGTCAATGTCACACTTGCTGTTCACGTGACAGGGTTGCACACCATAATTTGTAGTCAGCTCTACCCAAGTCTCATTTTCAGTCTGACACACTGCATCGACATACACTGGAGCCTTCTTGGGCTGCCCAAGCGGACCCATGAGCAACATCGCCAATGATGATAGTACAATGGTGCAGTAGCGTGTGATGAGTTCTAGATAACTCGGCGTGGTAGCAATGAACGTTTGCTTCTCCATCTGATCGAGCAACAAATCGGAAGCAGTAACTTTACAAAGTAGATTCTCTTGACGTGAGTATAGCATAGCGAAAACAACGTTGCCCATGTTTCCTTGAGGTGTTGTGAGTTGTTTGTTATCGTGGTCAAATTCTAAAATGAACACGAGTCGATAATTAAAAATGGCTACTGTCTAAGTCGTCTCAACCATGATGTTGCACCACTTGTTCCATTATACATCGTAATCATGTTGTGAGTTTTCCAGCGAAAAGTTCTGTGCATTCGCGTCGCTAATTGGCTGTTCACTTCAACTTGAAGTTCCATTCCTCCCTCATTGCGCACTGCCAGCAACTCGGATCAGATTTGCTATTGAAACTAAGTATTTTTAGTCTATGAGCTAAAAGATTGACTTATAACATTTGAGATTCAAAATAAAATGTAATGTACTTATAACGATTGAAGAGTGTCAAGTCATCATGTTGTAACTTTTTTGCAGTCTTCGTGCATTGTAAAGCTTACTCACCTCTACCTGCTTTGATAAATATAATGCTGAGACTTTCTCTCACATCATCAACATGTGTCGACTGTTTGCTCCTTACATCTCGCGATGTTAGTGACAACATCTAGATCCTTGTGTTATAAAATCTTAAGGGCGCAGAAGTCTCGAACTGTATTGAGAAAGCCACGGCGCATAATAAACTTGGAGCTTTGCTGACCGGCTTGGTGCAGCCTTTGTGGGATAGCGCTCACTATAAACAGTGTCGACGTCGACGCCTCGTGATGCATATTTTTATAGTAGTAGTTTTTCAGAAAGCAAAGAGCTCTGCATCCAACTTCTGTGACGCTCAATTGTGCATTGACAAGATGAGCATGAGGCTCTTAGACACACATAACAAGTAGGTCAGACACCTCTTCAAATGCACGAGTCAGCTGGAGAAGCATCTCAAGCTAGATACACTACAATGTGACCTCCTTACCGTTCGGATAAAGTATTGATGCTTGAAAAAGCTTGATGAACAGGTCTGCAGCGTGAAAATTGAAGTCCACGTTGGAAGGGGTGGCGACTGTCTTCGCTGCGCTCTCTACAACTGCTCAGCAAACGGTAATGTAAGACTGACAAGCTTTACTAGCTCTTCGGTCTTCTTGCGGCGATTTTGCGTTTGCTTCGCGACGCAAGTCCATTTTTCACCGTGACGAGGGTCAGAAGCCACGGTACGCTTCAGGATCTTTTCTGCCGTTTCCTTCGAGCCATGCTTTAACTCCAATAGATAGTAATGGGCCCATGCATCTCCAAAATCCGGATCCAGCTGAACCGTTCGTTCCAGCCACTTGCGTGCCTTTGAGCACTTGCGTTCCTGCCAGAACAATTTGGCGACTGACAAGCACACTGACGTATCGTTGTCTTTCTTCTTCAGTGCAGTGAAAGACGCGCGCTTCTGCTGAGCTCGAGGAGCAATGTCGATAGATTCCGCCAAAAGTATGCCGGACTCAGGGCACTCCTGCAAAGCCTTTGCCATTAGCATTTCTTGACCCTTGGGGTTATCCCACCGAGCTTCCAGACGAGCAGCCTCCAGCCACAAACATTCATTTTTCGGGTTCTTGAGGCGAGCCAACTCCAATACCGAGCGTGCCTTCGTCACACCGTTAATCTTTTCCTCCAATCGACTAGAAAGCGTCCATAATGGAATAGACTTCGGACAATGCTGAACACCTTCACGGTACATCTTCTTCGCTTTCTCATAGTTAGGAGGATCTAACGCCTCGTAAAATTGCCCAGCCATCATATACAACTTGGGGAAGTCAGGGTACAGTTCAATACCTTCTAAGACGAGACTTTCTTCGTCTTCACGATTTGCTGCACATTCCCTTTCGAGCAGCACGGACTTCATCCATACATGAGGCGACGGTGCTTGTGCACGTGCCTTAGCCAATAACGCCCGCGCCAAATCGATTTCATCGTTCTCCCACTCTAACTTGACGGCTGCCAGCCAAATTGCCTCGCTATTCGGATTAGCACTAAATGCTTGACGCAAGATCAGTCGTGCATTCTCGACGGAGCCGTTAGTCCAGACCTCCTTGGCAGCCATAAGCCACAATATCTCTGCGTTTGGGCAACACGTGATGGCCTTCTGCAACAGTTGCTCGACAGCTTCAGGGCTATGGCCCTCCTGAACTCGCTTCTCCAAAGCGACAGCACGCAGCCAAATGGACTTCTTGCCTGGAAAAACCTTCAACGCAGCCGCATAGATAGCCTTAGCTGTCAGCAGTGCGCCACGATTAATACTATTCTCAGCATCGTCCATCCATGTACGTTTCCGGTCTTCGTAATCAACTCCAACGTCCAAACTAGCACGAACAATTGCCGCACACGTTAATGGTGCGTCCGCTTGCTCACATGCTTCGGCTTCCTTTAGCCACATCTCCCGGTTCATGACCACCTGATGTTTTTGCAGCGATTTTAGTGCCAACTGGATGATTCGATCGATCATGTCTAGGTTCTTTCCTTGCGCTTCTTCTAACTTGGCTGCCGTGATCCATATTGACGGCTCAGTCGGGATTGAAGCGCGTGCCTTATTCAGCGTCTTCTTGGCGTTCTCATACGTTTCGAGCCGCGCTAGCGCTAGCCACAAATCCACTGCTTGAGGGACGCACTCAACAGCCCGACCGAGCAGAATTCGTGCGCCATCGACATCTTCCAGCTCAATCAAAGCCTTCCACAGCTTCACTGAGTCAGGGATGAACTCGAGAGCGCGGCGCATCACAAGCTTCTTCAATTCGTCATCATTTTCGAGCTGCGCCGCTTGAAGCCAGATCTTGACTGATTTGGGCACGTGTCGTACAGCCTTGGCTAGAATCGTCTTGGCATTTTCTGGGTTTTGTAGTCGTGCAGCTTCCAGCCAGACATCTTCCTGGGTGGAACAGGACTCGCAGCCTTGTGCAATAATTTTTCTTGCCTGCACAATTTTTCCTGCCACTTCTTCCAGTCTTGCTGCAGCAACCCATCCCGGTCCATGTTTGGGGTTTGTCATCGTCACCGATTTCAACAACAGTCTTGCCTTCTTTATATCTCCAATCTCCGCATCGCTCGTGAGCTTTAAGCTGTTCAAATCTGTAAGATACCCCTTAGGGTCTACGACAGTCTGGCCCGAGATTGAGTCTGACATTTTGTCCAGCTTGTGGGACAACTGGGCCCCTCTCGCACCCGCCAAGCCCGTCACAGAGCTCGTCATGCCGTTAGGTGTGTCCATTCCACTTCCTGCAGGTGTAATTGTTCCACTGATATTCGTCGTCGAGTGCGCTCCATTAGTTCCCAATAGACTATCAGGTACTGGCGCAAACATCTCGTTTCGCTTCTGTAATGCCGTGTTCGTCTTGTATTTGAGCGAATAGTCACCAATTTCCGGGATCATTTCCCATTCTGCATCTGACATGCTCTGCAATGAGCTTTTTAAATCAGCAAACTGGTCACTGATTTTGGGCATCTCTTTACGTGCCTTCTTGAGCTCCTCCAACTGCTGCAATTCCCGTCGACGTTTACGTCGTGAGTCCATACGTTCGTCCACTTGTTCATAGATATCGTCTGCTTCTTTATCATCCTGATCGTAGGGTGTGTCCTGAAATAGGCCACGTGACGAATAACCCGAGAATTCGTCGTAATTGGTCTCACTATAGTCGCCAAAGTCCTCATTCTCGTCCTTTTCACGTCCAAATCCACCCATCCCAGCGGTACCAGAGCCACGTCCTGCACTTGATCCTGGTCCTGGTCCCACTCCTGGGAAATCAATGCCGCATCCACGACCTGCTCCGCGACCAGCGGGTGGAAGGAATGGTGCGTCCTGCGTCCCATCCTGCGTCATGGGTGCACGTGCAGGACCAATGTCAGAACGTGTAGTAAATCCTACGGCCCCACGACCCAAGCCTGGGACATAGTTGGCTGGTGCGCCCGAAGCGTACGTGTTACGGACACGTTGACCAAGGCCGCTCATTATTGCCGTGTTATCACGCAGATTGAAAAACTTGGAAATGATGTGGTATACGCGAACCTTTTATCAAGAATGACGACTAAGGACTACAGGTATACGGTACTGCACCCAGAAAGCTACCAAAATCACAAATTTTGCTACATTTTTGGTCAGCTATGTAATTACACCAAATTGATCATCACTCTGCACTCCACGTCAGGTTCAACAAGATAATCTGGCGTCCCTTCACATCCGAATCCACCATCAACAGCATACTCGGACTGTTGTTATAGTAATGATATCTTTGATCCGTCCAAGTCATCGTCTACTGCTGCAGCATAGCGTACGCTCACTGCAGACCGCATCCGAAGCTGCTGCTAATGTGTCGTATACGCGCGGTCTGTTTCTAGGTGTAAACAACGTTGCACGCGCCTTCCCGTACCCAAAGCTTTCGGACAGTGAGTCGGAGACGTTGCAGATGCTCGTTGAGCCTGTGAGCAAGTTCTTTGGCTCAGTGGACTCCCGTACAATTGACGAGACGAAGGAGATTCCAAAGCAGGTACTGAATGACATTAAAGAGCTTGGTCTCTTTGGCTTGCAGATTCCTGAAGAGCTCGAAGGTCTCGGTCTTTCTAACACGGGCTACGCTCGTGTAATTGAGGAGATTACGGACGGAAGTGTCGCCGTAACGGTCGTGGCTCACCAGTCAATTGGGTTGAAAGGCATTTTACTTAATGGAAACGAAGCACAGAAGGCCAAGTATCTTCCAAAACTAGCAACGGGTGAGCACATTGCTGCCTTTGCACTCACAGAACCTTCCAGTGGATCTGATGCTGCATCTATTAAGACCCGAGCTACATTGTCAGAAGACGGCAAACACTTTATTCTAAATGGAGACAAGATCTGGATCAGTAACGGTGGATGGGCCGAAATCATGACGGTTTTTGCACAGACGGAGGTAAATGGTAAGGACAAAGTCACTGCTTTTATTGTCGAGCGGGCATTTGGTGGTGTCACTAGTGGTCCTCCTGAGGACAAACTGGGTATCCGTGGCTCCAACACATGCCAAGTGTTTTTTGACAATTGCAAAGTGCCGATTGAGAATGTGCTGGGGGGTGGACCGGACATGAAGACGGGCGGTGAGGCTGGTGTTGGTCAAGGATTCAAAGTGGCCATGAATATCCTAAACAACGGTCGTTTTGGCCTCGGTGCTTGCGCTGGATCATCGCTTCGCCGTGTTTTGGGTACAGCAGCAGAGCATGCAAACTCGCGTAAACAGTTTGGCTTTTCGTTAGCAAAATTTGGCCTGATTCAGAAGAAGTTTGGTACCATGACGATGGATGCGTATGCCATTGAATCCATGGCGTATATGACTACAGGTATGATCGACCGTGGTGACCCATCTTGTGAAATTGAAGCAGCTATGTGCAAGGTTTATGGATCGGAAGTAGCGTTCACCGGCATCAATGAGTGCATTCAGGTCATGGGTGGCACTGGTTTCATGAAGGAGTGGCCTTTTGAGCGTCTTATGCGTGACTGCCGTATTCTGTCGATCTTTGAAGGCACGAACGAGATTCTCCGCATGCTTATCGCTCTCACCGGTGTTCGGGTAAATTGTTTTTTTTGCATTGCTATGATAAGTACTTGGTTCATAGTGTTGTTTCGGTGTGTTATATAGACTGCTGGTGAGCGTCTATCAGATGTGGGCAAGCTGATGCAGAACCCGCTATCGGATCCATCGGGTGCGGCTAAGGAACTCTCGGACCGTATGCAGCGAAAGTTCTCTCCGACCACCTTGGAAGGTGCGCACCCAAGCTTAAAAGACTCGGCCGAGCTGCTACAGAAGCGCACTGCGGACTTTGGTCAGGCTGTCGAGTTTCTGCTCCGCAAGCACGGCAAAAAGATCGTGGACGAACAAATGCAGCTTGAGCGAATCGCCGACTCGGCCATCGCACTGTTCGCCATGACCGCTACGATTTCGCGCGCGAGCTCTTCGCTGAACTCGGGCATTGAGTCAGCAGAGCACGAGAAAAAGCTCACGACGTTATACTGCGACCTGACGTCCAAGAAGATCCAGACGCTACTGGACGAAATTAAAATGGCCGTTAAGCACGACGAGCAGCTGCGCGAAATTGCCAACGAGGTGCTCAAAGCGGAGAAGTATATCCCCAGCCACGCCACGGGCATCAACTGCTAGACGTCGCATTTACTGATCTTGTGCAGCCTTAAAAGTAATTAATTGTCAAGCAGGCCCTTTTTTACCCCAAAACTTAAACAAAAGCTGATGCGAAGCTCATCCTTCAGATGTTGAAGTTTCACTTATATTTGCTTACTCTATACAGTACCAGAGAGATGGTCGTATTGGTGCAACGTTGTTGTTGTTATCTTCCACCTCATTTTCTATTCTGCCAGCAATCGATAGAAAGACCTCATGGGCTCCAAATTGTCCATAGGTCGAAACGTCACGCAGCGTCAGAGCTCGTTGATGCGACTACATAAGCGTATACACACACTGTTGTATGTATGGATACGCTTTTGGATCTTCGCAACGGGCCTGGAGAAGCATGAGGAGTTGGTATGGCGTCTTGCACAGCAACTTAAGCACAGCGTGTACCGTACAGCAACTGAAAAGTATGCATTTTTCCATCACCTGGTCATAACACTTGTCGAGCTCTGGCTACGAACGCTGCATGCGGTGTTAGTACCCGACGTGTTCACACGTTATGTGTGTGCAACGTTTGTACTACATATTGTATATGAATTACAGTCTATTGTTCGCCAAGTATTGGGCACTACGTGCCTAAAACTTACAGCAAAAGGACGAAGGACACTGAGACTCAGATATCAGTTGGAGAATGCCAAGACATTTCATGAACGCCAGTCAATTGCTGGAGAATTGGATAAACTTGAGGGTAAAGACAAATGGCGTGAAGATCCAGTGTCGGGGCTCTTTTTGTACGAACGAGTGATGAATAAGACACAAGTTTATAAGAAACTAAAGCTTAAAAATGAGGTTATTAGACTTATGTTCTCTCTAAGAGCGGGGTTACTGAGGAAACATTGGGGACTAGGCAATCCTCAATTGTATTCAGTTAGTAAAGGTACGCGGCTGTATGTATCGGTGAAAGGATTCTGTGTGACGTGTACCTAATCTCTATATGCTGCTGCAGTGGGAACAAAACACGTGATTGAAGAGTATTTGGACACAATCGTACAGTCGATGAACGTTGTGCTACGTGCAAAAGGAGCGGACGAAGACAATGACGAGTTGTCTATTGACAACAAGTTGGCATTCTTTAGCGAGACACGTCATGCTTATGGTCGTTCGGCCTTGATGCTTTCTGGTGGTGGAGCACATGGATTCTATCACGCTGGCGTAATCAAAGCTTTGGTGGAAAACAATTTGCTGCCGATTGTAATTGCTGGATCATCGGCAGGGTCGATCTTAGCTGGAGCTATTGGTGTCCGTAATGATGATGAAGTACTGGGCTTTTTGTCGGGAGAGTCTGTGAATCTCAGTTTCTTGAGACCAAACATTACGGAACAGGATCGAGTTGCTTACATACCATCATTCTTGCCCCCAATTCAGATGCTGTTTCCTAAAGGAGGTTTTGAGCTCGTGCGAGATGCTTTTGTCTTGCTGAATCGATTTCTAGACAAGCACTTCTTATTAGACACGAAAACGCTACGGGACTGTTTGCGCAGTTTAATGGGTGACTACACCTTCAGAGAGGCCTATGATAGAACCGGTCGGATCATTAACGTCACAGTGACCCCGCTAAATGCCGATGACTATCCTCAGTTGCTCAACTATCTCACGGCTCCAAATGTGATTATTTGGTCGGCGTCCCTAGCGTCTTGCGCGATTCCAAACGTTTTCTGTCCTGTCGAGCTTCTGGCCAAGGACGAGAAAGGTAACATCGTCCCTTACTATCGCGAGGGGCTTAAGTGGAGTGATGGTAGTGTCGAGTGCGATCTGCCTATGGAACGACTGTCAGAACTCTTCAACGTGAATCACTTCATCGTCAGCCAAGTCAACATTCATTACAAGATTGTGTCAGGCCATTCGGCGTTTGGAAACGAACAAACTGGTAGCCTCATGAGCTTCCTTAAGAAGCAAATGAAGGCGTACATAAAAAATATTGCCGTGTTTGGGCTGAAAACCTCTGTGCTGAAGTTCCTTGGCATCGGGCTAATTCCTCTGATAACCCAAAAATACGAAGGCGATATCACCATCTGCCCCACCGACAAGATCCCCGCCACGACATTGCTGCGAACAGTGCTGAGCAATCCATCACGTGAAACTTTTCCAGATATCTTGCTGGCTGGCGAGCGGGCGTGTTGGCCAGCAGTTGCACGGATTCGTACCATGTGCCGCGTAGAGTTTGCATTAGAACGCGCAGTGCGGTACTTGCGTGGAGAGCAAGCTTTTGAAGACGAACGACGAAGCGGGCGGAAGGCAATTGGCCGTGTGCCGTCTTTTTACACCTCACCAAGCTCTATGAATCTGTCGAATTTGGATCAGTCGCCCCCCGGCCCGCGAAGTTATGCCTCACCACCAACTAGCGAAGGAAAGCGATCTCGACATCGAAGCCTTGACGACGGAGAGATTATAGATGCCATGAGTAGCCCTGTTACGAATCATATGCGCCGAAACAGATCCATGAACATCGCAGGGGCTGTTCTGTCCATCGATGCAGGTGCCAACGCTTCCGACTTGAAACACTGTAATCGATGAAAAAAACGCAGCTTCATGACATTTGCTACAGTTGTATTCATTATTTTTAATCTGTTTACCATGTCCTGGGATCACTAACTCCAAAAGTCAGCGCATCGAAAAAACTTGTCACCGGTTCTGGTGCACAGAAAATCTGCCGCACGTAAAAGTCTGGTAGGGTCGATATTTTCTCGTGTAGATCACCTAACTGCTCCTGCAGTATTCGCCGCTCCTCTTGCAGCGTAATTATTCTCTCCTCATCCGCTAGACGAACTACATCCGACACACAGTCACGAAGCACTACTTCGACCCCACGACTACACTCTAGCCGGCCCAGCTGCATCTGAAAGCGTTGTAGTCGTGCTTCCAAGCATACACGCTCGCGCTCCGCAGCCTTCTTAGCATTGACATGCTCCATCGTAATTTGCTTCATTTGACGTTTCATCTCGTCGTTGTCACCACGAAGCATCGCGTACTCTTTTTCGAGCTGAACTCGAGCATCCAATTCAGTATCATACAATTGCTGCAGCTGCCGTTGCTCTTTGTCTAGCAGCTCTATTTCACGCTTTTGCTGCTGAACTTCATGCTCCGCCTGCTTTAAATGTTTTCGTAGCGTTACTTTTTCGGCCGCCTGATCAGCAGCGCGACGAATCCAGTCCGCTTTTTCTCCCACTTGTGTTGTACGAAACGATTCCGCCAGCTTCGTTAGTTCTTGCTTTGTGCTACGTGCTTCCGATTCGACCTTAGCAAGAGACTCCTCCTTATGCTGTAGTCTCAGTCGCGTTTTCTCCAGATCATTTGTCAGCCCAGTCACTGCCGCATGAAGCTGCTCTATCTCTTCGCTTAAACTTTTACGTTCAATGTCAAACTCCGCAATCGAAGCAATTTGCTGTTGCGACGAGAACTGCATCTCTGAAATGCGTACAATCTGTGTGGCAATCTTATCTTCCAGATACTTTTTTGTTTCCAGAAGCTGTTGCACCTTCATAGTTTTCTCATGCAGCCGTCGCTTCCACTCCATTTTATCGTTCGCATGCTGGAGTTCAAGTTTCTCTCGAGAGTAATTCCACTTGGCTTTCTCCTGTGCTTGATTGTTAGTCATACGTTGAAATAATGCTTCAAAGAACTCAAGCGAGTCGACACGCAGAAACTGGTAAAACACTTTCTTCTTCGCTGGACCGCGAGCTTTTCGTTTGTATACTTCTTCCAGCACGCTCATTGTAGCCTGAAAGGCCTCTTCTTTGTTTGCAGCAGCGTCCCATGCGCCCGCAGCCAAAGGGCGAGCCAAAAACTTTGCGCGCAGCTTGGCTAGCACTTTCGCACAGAATTTGCTGGAGCGTCTTTGAAGTTGCGCAATTAATATTGTGCGCTGGGCATGCATATGCTGTTTCAGCTTCTGGAAGCACACTGTGCGCGACGTGCCCTCAATCGATCGAGCTTTAAACAGCGACAGCGCTTGCTCCTGAGCGTTCTTGTAAGTTGCCTCAAACTCTGTTTGGGACAAAACCTTCGTTCTACCCTCAACATCATCGCTACCACCACCATCAGTATCTCCTTCCACTTTATCTGTATCCTCAGTTTTTTTGTCATCGTTTGCCTTTGTAGACGGCTTCTTGCCAGTGACGACCTCCATTAGCGTATCATATAAATCAATAGAAGCAGCAAGTGCGGTTTGGCAGGTGGCGTCTGAAACGTACTCCCAGGCTGCTTTAATATTCGGAACAGCTCCACTGTTCATCGTGCTTGTGTAGCAACGCGCCAACTGTGCTACTTGAGGGCCATGCAAAACCTTGCCTAGAAGCTCCTTGACTCTCACAGACGTAAGCAAGCGATGTCGTACTGCAGACATTTGCTCCACGAACTCCGATCGCAATTCAGCATCCGGTAGATCTGCTGCGCGGCGGAGGTCACGCTCATTGGTCACCGGTCGAACAAGCGTCATACATTCTCTACGACCAAACAAAGCACGAATTGACGCACGAGTACGATTCCGCTCTTCTTGGCGCAATCTCGTGCTCTCAGAAGCTGTAGCACTAACGACTCGTGCATCCAAAGCCTTCTCAAGATACTGATTGGCAGTCAGAGCGTTGCCTTCTATCTGCATGTCAAGCACGAAGTCACGGAGAAGCCATACGAATGGCGGAAAATGCAGTGCCAGTGCCCGCGATTCCTCTGATTTGTCACCGCTCAGTACCGCCTCCTCCGAGCTCGCAACACCACTACCAACAGCGCTTGCCGAAGCTGACATATTGCAAGGATGTGTACTAAAACAAACATGTTTCGTTAGCTCCGAAACAAGGTACAGACGATCAATGGCACCTTCATCGATCACACCCATCGTGTTGTACACAAAGAGCGAGCTTAGTAGCAGTCCCAATGAGAAAATCTTGGCGTCGTAACTCTCGTCATTATCCGTAGATGCCATGCCCTCGGTATCCAGAAACAACACGAGTTGACCGGATGGATTGCGTACTGGAGGCTGCGGTGCCCACAGCCAGATGCCTCTTGTGCACGACTCAGTTGTCGGTCCCACACAAAAGGCAGAGCTGGTAATGTCATTAGTCACTATATTGCCTTTAATACTGGTCCATGGCAGCTTGTCGCAATGAGACGCGAGTTGGTTGAGAAAGAAGCTTTTGCCTGTTCTAACCACCACATCCACGAGAATTATCACATCTGTTAAGTGACAATTACAATTCCAATCTCCTCTCATAACGTCAATAGATCCCACCGATACTGTCCTGCCAAGCAAATAATTGCCACAGGCTCATTCAAGCTCTCTAGGAGGCTGCATCGATGTCATAGTAACAGATAATAAGACAGGTACATCGTCGTTATTAGTGACTTGTAGAGGAAGAAATCAGTAAGAAAATAATGTGCAACAGATAAAGAAAATAAGGTTGATGTTCATACACGCACCTAATACCTTCTTCCATCACGTACAGGCCGTCAGCGCCACCTCCAATGAGGCACACGGGCGTCATCGTTAGAGCAACTTTAAATAGTGAATGTATCATGCGGGGATGTGCTATTTCGTGTACGCGACACATCTTGTGACAATCCAATAAATTGCAATCTTGAAACGACGCGAATGGCAGACAAAGAGCTCATTTACGTCAACTCATGGCATGGCGGATAGACGTGGATACACCCATACAAAGAATGCATCCCCCGCTTTTATTTGCCTTGTGTCAGGCACGCGCCCGACTTGCGACTAATAATCTTTATAGTGCTGATCTCGCCGATTTTGAGACGCTTTAAGGTGCTCCATGCGCTCTTCAAGGCCCGTGAGGAGATCCAGCTACTTTTCCCGCGTTCCATATGTAATCTTACCCGTCTTGACTTCTTCACTTTATTTTTGCATCGCATTAGCTCTATGGCTACAGGAAACTGCACTCGCTTAGTCGCGGAACTTGTTCGCGACAGCAACATTCACACCTGTAAGTTGGATAGCGTCCACAGAAAGTGTTTAAAAATTTAAGACGAAGACCAACACTGATGGGTCCATTGAGCGTTTCAAGGCACCTTTGGCTGCTTGTGGCAACAAATAACTTTTCGGGGTTGAACACAATCGAACTATTGCGGCAGTGATGGAGTGTCACAGGGCATCTAGTTACACGTAAATATTAAGTAATATACTTAATGTTTGGAATTTATGATTACTTTTGACCTGTCACTTGGGTGCGATACACAAATGTGATCCACCCTCGTGAATGTGATATCCATTGATGGATCACATGAGAAGGGATGACGCTAGTTGAAGCTAGGCATCGCGACGTCTCAGAAGGACGTCAGTTGCAATCTTAAATCTAGATTTAAGATCATGCGACAGGATACGCTTCTAAAGAGTCGCGTATCCGATCTATATATATATATAGCCAATCAGTAGTTAAAACATATATTTAGTTATAATTAATCATGTGGTGGAGTGGGATTCGCAAAATTGCTGATGCGATCCCAACTCTCCACTGGCGCCCGGACGACCGACTAACGGAGGGGGTACCCCGATTCCGTGTGTATAGCCTTCCTCACCTTGTGTACCCGTCGGTAGGGCGGGTTGCTCTCTTCTCGGTAGACTTGAGTCGATGTTGAACTTGATTGTGTTAGGGATAGGTGGGGGGGGGGGGGGGCGATCGCGAGGAATTCCTCACACGATCGCAGTTGTTCTTGGGGTGCTCTATTTGAGTCGCCCTGATCTCCCTTGAGATCGCCTTGTCCAAAAATGTAGATACTTGATCCGCTTGCCTTCTGACCACTTGAGCCGTCTCGCGATCTTGTATCTGGACTTCTTAGTCCTCTGCGTCCAATCGCAGCTTGATTTGTTTTGTTGAAAATTCTTGCAATCCCTGGCCAAACAATCCAGGGATATGACTTGCGTAGTATGTAGACTTCCTTGAGACGTCGGAAGGCCAAAGGATCCAGCCCGGAAGAGAAGTCGACACGTGTACTTAGAAGCAAATTGAACTCTGTTAATGTTAACCAATCAAATACCAAAACCTATGATCTTGACTATCTGTAGCTCAGGATCTGTTGCCACGTATCGCCCTTTCGAAAAAAAAATCAGATCTCGGAATGTGGTCCACTCCAATATAGCCGCGATCTGGATCGCTACCTCACTCGGATATAATACCATTTTAGTACCAGATCGCGGTACTAAATAATTAGTACCAGATCGCGGTACTAAATAATTAGTACCAGATCGCGGTACTAAATAATTAGTACCAGATCGCGGTACTAAATAATTAGTACCAGATCGCGGTACTAAATAATTAGTACCAGATCGCGGTACTAAATAATTAGTACCAGATCGCGGTACTAAATAATTAGTACCAGATCGCGGTACTAAATAATTAATACCAGATCGCGGTACTAAATAATTAATATCGGATCGCGATCCGCCGGATCACGACTTGTCTTCTTCACCGTTTCTCAGGTCATGTGAGATAGTTCATCAATGTGACATTTCATATCCACCATTCCAGTCCTCCATAGCGACGTGATCCACACCAGACCGTCCTCCACATGCTTGGATGTACCCATCTTCCTCCTTAGCGACCGCGTTCACGCGGATCGCCATCGGAAATACTGGAGATCGCAATAGCGTAGTTTCTAGGCCATATTTGACCCCACATAGAAGTGCAAACTACTCCATTCACTGTTTTCCATCCTATTTGACATCGTCTTGAAACCTTTCTGCGAGATCGCGACTCATCAATATTGGCCACGAGATCGCGACTCATTAATATTGGCCATTTCATACTTAACCGAAAATATGCGATCACACTTGGCGAAATTCACTCTTTCACTTCGCCACAATCGTCCCCTGCACCGATAGCCCACATACAGTGTTGGCCTAACTGTGCACTGTCTCGCTTCACTCTTCTCGTCACTCCGTCCCTTATGGCCAGATCTACACCCGAAAACGATCGCCACCCCCAAACTGGTGTGCTCGTTACGCGCGATCCAACGATGGGTTCCTCTACCGGATCGCGTATCTTGCTCCCGTCTACCCGGATAATCCTTCCTCCCGTTGCAGATCGTCAGAACGCGATCTCGTTGGTTTCTTCATTGTATGACCGCCTGGAAGCCCAGGATACCATCGTGGAAAGCTATCACTCCATGGAAAATGCCTTACGGGAGCAGGAATTTCGTGGAATTCAGCTGGAGACGGAACTCAACTCGTATCACGAGTTGGTGCCTCGACTGTGCACATTCGTCTTGCGTCGAGATGAAGAGTTGCGTCAACAACTTGATGCCGCTCTCCACATGGCCGAAGGTCTCGACGAAGAACTGAACCAGCTAACGGATCAGTCTCAGGAGATCGCCGATCTGAAGAATGCCTTGTTTCGAGCCAATGCAGAGAAACATCGCCTGCAGGATAAATTCCGCCGTGAGGCGGCCAATCTTCAGCGAACTCTGGAAGGAAAATTCCGGCAGCAGATCGCGTCCCTCCAACAGCAACTGGACTCCATCCTCGCACAGCGTAATACAGCAGACAGTGCTTTGGCCGCTGACTTTCGACGCATGAAAAGCAAGGCATCCAAGTACAAGAAAGCTCGTTCTCAGGCCCAGCAAGCCGCGAAACAACTGCAAGAGACACTGAGCGCGCTCGAGCTTGATCATGATCGCCTCCTGAGTACGAGTATTCGGAACGACGCAGCTTTGGATCGACTTCGTACCGAAGTTGCAGATCGAGAGGCAGAGCGCGATCTGGCCATCCAGGATCGAGATTTACTTCGTTCGCATCTGGCAGAATTGGCTACGGGCTTACTTCCTTCTCCGACTAGCCTTCTCGCGCTTTCCAATCCCTCGTCACCCAATCGCAAACGTGCGTCATCTTCACCGACTCTGGACGTCCCCTGTAAACGTCCCCGCAGCGCTTTCGGTACTTCTGCTCAATCTGCGACCTCGGAGGGATCTGGCATTCCAGCGCGATCTGGGACTTCGACGCGATCTGAAATTCCGGCGCAATCCGGTACTTCGGCACAGTCTAATACTTTGGCGCGATCTGGTACTTCGGCGCGATCTGGTACTCCACCGCGATCTGGTAACTTAACGCGATCTGGCACTCCGGCGCGATCTGGTACTTCAGCGCGATCTGGCACTTCAGCGCGATCTAGTATTTCTCCGCGATCTGGTACTCCGCCGCGATCTGGTAATTTAACGCGATCTGGCACTCCGGCGCGATCTGGTACTTCAGCGCGATCTGGCACTTCAGCGCGATCTAGTATTTCCCCGCGATCTGGTACTCCGCCGCGATCTGGTAATTTAACGCGACACCCGACGACTCAATCCACTCAATTTATTTTTCCGCGATCTGGTACTCCGCCGCGATCTGGTAATTTAACGCGATCTGGTAACTCAGAACGGTCTGCCAAGTCGGTGCGATCCGTTATTACAACGCGACCCAATGTTTCGTCGAAAGCTAAAAAGAAACGCAAAACGTGTCCCTCGCCTTCGCCTGACTCTGAGTATGACGGCTGGTCTTCCGATCCCGAGGACGCTACACTTGCTGCTCTCTCCGGATCGCGTTCCACCACGAGGCGTCGCAACACCACGACGAAACTCTCTGGCAACACCGGATCGTCTCAGTCCCCTATCATAATTCACAATGGTAGCCCACCCTCCAAAAAATCACCAGTCTCGAGTCCTGCTACGCCCCCTAGCCTTACGACCAAGATTTCTAAGGTCGACCTTTTTGGCGAACCTTCTAGCGACTCGGACGGGAAGATTAGCGTTTCCAGTGACATCCGTGAAGATATAAACCAGTTGCTCACTCCCGCTCAATACGCCGACCTGCCTGATCTCCAAAAATCACGTGATGTGTGGATCCCAGGATATCGTGAGCGAAAGCCCCGATCGTCAACTCAGGTCGCTCCATGGTCCGCCCGACGGGTCAGTCTGACCAGTGTTGCCGAATTGGGAGTGGAGTTCTTCTATCGACACTTGTCCCGACCGAGAGGGTATATCTTCACCCCTCAAGCCAATCCCAAATCTCTTCTTGATTCTGAGTGGATTCCCCGACTGATCACCCCGGCACAAGTTACTGCGCTTTACGATCAGAAACCGTGGAACGTCACTCGTCGGCCGATTGCTCCCATCTCTTTCCCGCTGACCGGTTGGTTCAAAGATCTGGCGGACATTTACCTGGAATATGAAGATCGCCATAGGCAAGCCTTGTGGGAGGCAACCCACTTCCTGTATATCTCCCGCGAACTTCGGAAGGAGTATCCAGAGCTGGCGCAATTTTGTCAGCAACGCAAGCAGCGTCGGTCGAGATCTGGACCCCGCTGGAAGACTATTCTTCGCGTTATTCTCCAAGGGATGATCGAAGGACACTGTGATCTGGACATTTTGTTGGATCCATACTTCCTCCACTTTCCAGTGTACGCAGAAGTGCGACCATGGTATCCTGGTTTGGATTGCAAGCAGAAAAACATTCTTAACCTGATTACTGCACTGTCGTTATTGGATTCTGCGGAGC